GTCATCTATACAGTGTGATGCGTTTTCAGATCCATCACTCAACAACTTCCTGATTACCGAAATATTGGGCGGGGGTATCATCAGTGAGCAGTAGCTCGCAGTTTCACTTGTTCTTTCTCTGTCAATCAAACAGTTTTTTATCATTCCTGATTGATCATTAATCGCTTATATGTCAAATATATGAAATATTTTCCACATACCACGATGATATTAACCTTTAATATAATTTATGGACGTTTATTTCAATGAAATTGCATATCCATATACATTTATCATTCAAAGTGTAATAAATTAAATTTCTACTTTATATAGCATCCAACTGTTCTACTTTTATATACATTCAAAATATTATTTTAAATCCCACATATCTAGATGTATTCTAAGTAAATCATTCGATTACTTTCGTGGGAGGTTGGGGAAGAACCAAAAACTAATATTTTATAATGAAAATCAGAATGTCAGAAAACGGAACAATTCTCAAAAGGCATTCTGAAATATCAAAGAGGAAATATTAATGACACAAATCCCTACAATCACTTGACAAAGCCCAAAGCAAGGGAAAACTGACTTCGATTATAACTGTATATTAGGCGTTGGACTGGGCCAAAAAGTGTTTGTAAAACAAATTGATTACAATGTAATAGCACAATATGATATTGAAGCAAAATATACAATTTGTAGTTCTTTCAACGATATTAACCTTATAAGGTCAGTGACATAAATGCTCCAGATTTATAGTCTTGGACAGTAAATGAAATTCCACTGTTGTCAAGGCAATCATATTTAACAAAAAAAGGACACCGTATGGATATTTCTTTTTTCGTCTAATTGCTCACTGAAAAAAGGGGGGGGGGGGCACTCCAATACCTCATTGATAAGGGTCTCCGCTGTGGTCCTGTTACCCCACCCTTTTTACATAACTTAGATTTTAAAAATGTATACCTTTTCATATATTGCGTAGGTAAAAAAGTAACCTTTACCAATATTGGTTGGGTTTCGTGTGGTGTGTTGGAAAAGTGGAATACCAAAATGTCAAAATAGGGAAAATTTGTGGATAAAAACAAAGCTGGGAACATCAAGAAAGATGACAACCAAACGAAAAAGAAGTAACAAATAATACAAAGTTTATTGACCTTATCATATATTTCAAATAGTTTTCCCTACCTATTAACATATTTTCAAACTGGAAAATGTGACCTATTTCAGCGGCACATATAGGAAGTGCCCCTCCCCCTACCCCTCCCCATCCCGACTGAAATTCGTATTTTATATAGATGTTCATTTACGTGTGTGAAAAGACATACAGACTCAAAACTGATTAATGCGCAATTATGTGAATTCATTACGAGTGACACTTTCAAGCGTTTTCTTGGATATGCCTAGATTATAGTCGCTTTTCGATGGATTTTCGTGGGCGATCAAATAAAGAATGCATTCAAGAACCAACAAAATAATTAGTCACAGTGTTTTATATATGAGAAGCACACCTCTTAGAAAATTTTAACGCAGCTTTTCATGCACCTTGTTTTTCTATTCAAGAAGTAGTCAAAGCTAAAAAAAATTGTCATTTCTTGAAGATAAATAATTTTTAAATGTTTTCTTTTGATCTTTGAACTATTGTTTTAAAGCAAAAATATATATTACATTTTTAAACTTAATTTTTAGGCTAAACAATGTCCTATAGGTAGGATGGGCGTATCATGATAAAGGAGGTGATCTCTCGGATTTTCATAAAATTTTACATGTAACTAAACAACTGGGTCATCATCTGATTAACGTTCAGCGGCAAATTAAATTCTTATTCAAGACGAGAACATGGTAATGCAATATGAACATTAACTCTGCTTTTTATTAGACCGACACGCTGAGTCGGATTTTTAACATGCTAGTTCACAAGGTAACAGTCCCCAACACCAATTTTTAATTCTTTAGTTTGACCCGGACGAAGACCTCCCACACTCCGGGCGAACACACTACAACGAGATCACCGAGGCGTTGGCTACATCTGAAAATTGAAAACTAAAACTGTTTATCACTGTTATAGTATCAAGATAAAAATGATGGAAATAAGTAAAGTAAGGGTGAATATCAGAGTATATATTGAATATAAGTAAAGATAGCCGGAGTATTAAAATAATTACAATTAATTTGATAATATTTAAGAATTGAATGCTTCTTTTTTGTAGTTTTATTAGGGGGGTGTATAGCGTTGACCGAAGCGTATTTTGTATTTCAGCGCTTCATACTAGAAATGTGCACACGATCAACGCTTTTACAACCCTCTAAAACTACAAATAAAAGAAGCATTCAATTCTTATAATTACAAGACAAGACAAATACTCGATTTAAGTGTCACCATGCACTTGTTACATATAAGATATACAGCATAGTAAAACACAAGTTAACAACAAGAGCCACTCTTTAAAGAGTTATGAGAGACTATAAAACAATTTAATATAAAACAAATATTAGTAAACTTTCATGAGTTTAAAATACATTTTTCCCAAATAGAATTTCTTTGCAAATTTTGGCAGTACAAAATACCATATTTTCGTTTGTATTAAGAAATCTCAATTTTTCTTTAATCAGACACATGTAAAAAAAAATGAGACAACCCGACCAAAGAGCAGAAAACAGCCAAGGTCACCAACTCAGCGAGAAAATCCCGCATCCGGAGGCGGGCTTCAGCTGGCCCCTGGCCATGTATATATTAAATCTAGAAATCAGATACATGTTTAAAAATGCTAAAACCACATGATTACGAGTCATATGTAGTCCTTTACGTGTATGTTGTGACGTTGTCATGGGAAGCCCGTGCAGTCATGAATGTTACATTTTATTGAGAAATAGGATATGATTTTGGAAGGTCTTCCGCGTGTGACGTTGTCATGGGAAGCCCATGCAGTCATGAATGTTACATTTTATTGAGAAATAGGATATGATTTTGGAAGGTCTTCCGCGTGTTAACAATTCTGCCAATCAAAATTACGGATTTTTATGAAACGTACTGTTATGTAATTATTCATACATACATAACTTGAATTGCATTGACGATAACATTATATAAATAACACATAGCTGAGAGGGTGATAGAGCAGATTGTAACCCCGAGAAAACATTATCAACTGAGGCGAAGCCAAGGTTGACAATGTCTTTTCGAGGGGTAACAATCTTCTCTATCACCCTCTCAGATATGTGTTATTTAATTTATTATACTGAATGTTCTGATATTACTGTCGATTAAATTTCAAATTCAAAGTTATAAACTATGACGTCTTGAGTGTACATAACAACCATCCGTATTTAATAAAGCGCACACTTGATCAAGCGTCTCCGTGAAGGGTAATAGAGTATTTACCATAGAGAGTAAATTGTCTCCCTCGTATTAACCAATCAAAATCTGGCATTTTGACATGAAGTATAATAAATTATATTCCTGAATGATAGCGTTTGGAGAAATGGTTATTTAAAGTGAGATAATTACGTTTTTTTCTCTATATTTACGAACTTTTATACAACAATAATGTTTTTTGTCGAATTTGTAGTGTACCATATATCTAGAAATATGAAAATAACAAATAACTTCTTTTTCGATATTCAGCTAATATATATAGCTAAGAAACATTTTTTGAACTTACAGCATGTTTTAAACTTACACTTTTAAACTATGTCAACTAACATACAACTGATCTACAAAATAGTCTGTTATATAATTTAAAGTCAATTATAGATAAACTTTAAATCTAAACCATTTAGATGAGATCTTTGGAATTGACAAATTAAACTCTGAAATGTATCCTAAATTTAGAAATACCGAAGTCATACTTAATATTCCTCTTTTGTTACCAGAAGAAATAACGCCAGTCAAAAAGGCATATTTCGAATTAATTGCCACGTTGTCGAGGGTAATTTCATGATGTAAACATTTATACATTAATATTCTAAAAATCGCTTTAACTTCTTGCATCTTTCCAATAGCCCTTATAGGATATAATTATGGTAAGGCGTGTCTCCGTTCTTCAGGGGGCATCGCGTTGTCAAATTCACATTAACGTTTTTTTTAGTATTGCACTCTATCGTCAAAAACATATTAATCGTGACTAAATACGAATCTAGCTTATGTTAACTGATACCTGTTATGTCAACTACTAAGATATTTTTAATCTAGATTATTAAAATGGGGGTGGGGCAGCAACAGCAGACTAAGTGATGTTTAAAGGGCGAGTAAACAACATAAATATTGGATTTTCTTCATTTTAATGATTTTCTTTGAATTATGATTTGTTATTGTCCAATTGGTATCTTCCGTCTCAATTAAACTGAATTGTTTCCGGATTTGCTTCTACATTTTATTTCCACCAGATTCTCCTAATTTTGTTAATCTACAAATCTATAAAATATAAGTATCCAATTACATGTACCTATATGATTTCAAATAGTTACTTCCACTAAATTATATCTTCCTTTCGAAATTAATTCGACACAAACTTGGAACAATTTTTGAAAGTTTGTAGCAAAGAGTCGCAAAAAAATCTGGGAGGTGTTGTGAAAACCAGATTTTCGGACCTACAAACGAACAACGGACCAACAATTTCACCTGCTCCGCATACTATAAGGAATATTAAGTTAGCGATTGGTATTAATAGAAATATAACTTATACGAATAGTTCTTTTTTAAATAATATCAAATAACATCAAGATATAGATACAAACTAAAAGGCTTGTTCAGTGACCGGTTGTATGTCCTTTTTTTAGGGGTAAAGGAGGGGGTAAAGCTTTCATAAAAGTTAATACTGAAATATTTTTTGATAGCTGGACAGATTAAACACCCATATGATTAAATCAGCTTAGTTAAAATCACAAATTCAATTTATACCTATTTAAGGAATCTGATTTTAGTACACAGTGAAAATCAATTTAATTAATCATGGTAATTTAAAGATCGATCTTTACAAATACATTAAGAACGAATCCACCCACCCTTGACTTCTGATACACAAATATAACTTTTTATTTGTCCGAACTGAAGGAAATGAACATGTCAGTTTATCTCAGATAAATCAAAGGAAACACGGTTTTGATAGCATGTTTTATCGTATGATAAAATCGTTAAAATATTTTCATTAGGAATAGCGTCTTTTAAAAGAAGTAAGTGTTTCATTTAAAATTAACAGATTCATTACGTTTTGTATCATTTGAAACATGGATTTTTTTATTTAAGTAACAACAAATTTTATTTATTTCTTAATTTATACGACACTGAAAGTATGCTATATATTCATAAAATGCAATGTAAATAATTATTTGAATTTTTTTTTCTGAATTTACACATTGCAAATATAAGTTAATTCGTGTGCACGGTTTTATCCCCCGTCAACGAGCGTGTAATGTTACTTTTATGGTGGATACACAATAAAATATGACTTTTGTATAAGGTTTTATGGATTTTTAATTTTTGGATGAATAAAAATAATTGCAAATATGAAAATGTTTTCAGTACAACAAAATTAAACTAATATTGAACTTGCTCTTAAATATTTAAATTTATCTATCAAAAAAATCATTACCGTTGTCCATCTCCAACTACAAATGTCTATAAAATGTGTTTATTTCACAGTACAATAGAATTGTTTCTGTCTCTAGAATCTTGAATCTATGAGTCGATTTATCTATCTTACTTTTTGTAATAAAAAGCCTGTAATTAGTATATTTCCTATTTCACACTATACATGTATAAATGTGACTGTAACTTTACAGATAAAAAGAGACGGTAAAATATCGTCCACGAGACAGCAACTCAATGATTTTACGAATAAGACATCCATAGGTCTGTCTTATAAATGTTCGGCAGTACTGAATAAACACATTATTAGTAGGCAGTAACGGAATTTAAATAATAAGCACAAGCGGGGATATACATTGTACCAATTATGCGAGTACTTCTGATCATTTCCCCTTATTATTCCAAGCAGTGGGAGAGATCCTAGTTATAAACATTTAAAACGTATAGTGAAAAAGTTACAACCATATAAAAAAAAAAAAATTTTTATCATGCAATTAGCCAACTATTGAACAAATAACAGGTACAAAAATATATTTTTATTTTATTTGTACTTGTACAAATAAAATCTCCTGTTACTACGCTTTTTTATTGAGCAAACGGTAATGTGAATACTTCTTTTTGTGTGACCGTTGAATTTGGGGTCAGAAACAACTATTTTGATTTAAACAAAAAATCAAAATAAGAAAAATAACAAACTCCAAGCTAAATTCAAAAGGGAAAGTCCCTTATCTTATGGCAAAATCAAAAGCTCAAACACACCATAGAATGGAAAACAACTGTCATATTCCTGACTTGGTACAGGCATTTCCTTATGTAAAAAATGGTGGATTAAATCTGGTTTTATAGCTAGCTAAACCTCTCACCTGTATGACAATTGCATACAATTCCTTTATATTGACAAAAATGTCTGAGCAAAACAAACAGACATAAAAGGTAATCAAAGTACTGAAGTACTGAACATCGGATGACCGCAAGTTCTTGTGGATTGTCAAAAGTCACAGAAAAAAATCACATCTCTATACCTGAAACTGAGGTTAATGTACAGAGATATTTTTTTTCTGAGACAAGTTCATGCGTGGATGATGAATGAATGACAGGAAATTCAACCTCACCGTAATAACTATTATATTGTAGTGATACAAATCAGTATACACTGGTTTATTGTTATATATTATATTAATATAACAGTTACATGTACATGTATTTATAATTTTTATCCATTTGTATGTCATTCTATTCTACTATTCTAAAAAGAGTGCAGTGCAAGTGCATGGTGGACACTCTTCGGTAAAAATTCGATTTTTCTAAAAGATTGGATATGAGTAGGCATTCATATTTTCCAGTAAAAACAATCTTCCATGCAGAGTTACCGGTCCTTGTCGGGATTGTCGCAAAATGTTCTCGAGATATTCTTCCGCATGCTTTACCATATCAATGATTTTTTACTTATATATATATCAAACGACAAAACATTTTCATATTATTAATTTAATGTTCTAAACAAAAATATTGTTATCAGTATTCATTGAAGAGATGAATTTATAACAAACGATAAGGAATGTTATTTTGCACTCGTTAATATCCGCGTATTTATCATGCTTATAGATCGGCTACAAATCAAAAACGAAAGTTACGTAATGGAAATCTAAGCGATAGCAATACATCGGAATGCCCTCACGGTCATCGCGATGTAAAAATGGTAAAAATTTCAAAATTGGAGTACAGCAGTCAACAACCAAACCTTAAAGTGCTGTGTGTAAATTGAAGTATAAAAAACAATTTAATTTATGTACATTATCGGAAATATAAAATTTGTTTGTACTCGAAAAGCCTTGCTAAAACACATACGGATAAATTTTATATTTTTCGACAATGTACATATATTATATACTTAATCTATCAAAATAAGAATATACGTTTATTAAAATCAGAGACGTTACTGCAATACATTTTCCTTATGGGAATTGGGATCAAGCTCCTGACGAAGACAACGGTAACTGTCAATCCGCAAATTAGCAATTGATTTATGAAGCAGTTTTTTGTTTTTTTTTTGTTTTTTTGTTTTTGTTTTTTTGGTTGTTGGTAAAACGAAGTTTGTCGTCAGATCAGATGATTACTATTGTCCATAATCAATCAAAGAGGTCAAAGAAAATATTTCAACGTTAAAATGAATAAAGTTTGTGTTGTCACTTATTATTTTTTAATCAAAGTCAATGTATCTAAAGATCCTGTCATTAAGGTAATTATGTTTATTTCTAGCTGAGTATTACAGGAAATGACGGAAGCATAGAAAAATTAAGAAAATATATACATGTGATACTGGCAAGATCATGTGATAATGTGATGCTGGCAAGATCATGTGATACTGGCAAGATCATGTGATAATTGGCAGTATCATGTGATACATTTTTATACCGGAGAAATATTCATGCAAAATTCTTATTCAAATTTTCTCCCCCGGTTTTTGGAGAGTTCGTGCTGTTCAGTCTTTAGTTTTCTATGTTGTGTTTTGTATACTGTTGTTTGTCTTTGATTCGATCGTCTTTCGTTTTTTGCTTTGTTTGCACCTGTCCTAAGTCAGGAACCTGATGTTCAGTTGTTGTCGTTTGTTGATGTGGTTCATAAGTGTTTCTCGTTTCTCGTTTTTTATATAGATTAGACCGTTGGTTTTCCTGTTTGAATTGTTTTACACTAGTCATTTTTGGGGCCCTTTATAGCTTGCTGTTCGGTGTGAGCCAAGGCTCCGTGTTGAAGGTCGTACTTTGACCTATAATGGTTTACTTTTACAAATTGTGATTTGGATGGAGAGTTGTCTCATTTGCACTCATACCACATCTTCTTATATCTATGTAATTGTCATTTTTGTTTTTCATGATTTATGAGTTTGGATATCCCTTTGTTATCTTTTGCATTACATATATGTAGTTTCTACAGTATTTTGCAATCTAAATATGACTGAATTAACACATTATGTTCTTTTCATAAATACCGCTCTTTTGTATGCATTATCCATAAACTAGTACCTAATATAATAAAACATATATTAGGTCCCAGCCATTACCTAATCGTCATCATTTTCTAAATGTCTCCTGGACACTTGAAATTCTAAACAATCTTATTTGTGCGTTTTGCACCTAATTGTTTTTCCATTAGGTGTGTTAATTTTTAAATAGTTTGAGGATTATTCTTTCAACGTTAATTCATACGATTAAATATTGCATGTTGTTCGGTACAATGAACCAATGTAACTGTCGGGAAAAATGTAATTAATATGGTATCGTATATAGGTAGGTACTCGTAATCCAAGCAAAGCTGAAAACACTCCAACAATGTTTGTACTTGTTTACAAACAATTATTGAGTCATAAATAAATAATCGTTTTCAATAACTCCTACTGTGTTGAATTAATTGACTTTTGTTACATTCTAGATTAACTGGTCTGTGTAAAAAAAAAAGAACCAAAAAAAAACCAGAGATGGTGTTCGGAAGAAGAGAAGCTGCTGGTGAGCTTTTTCATATATTATACTTCAAGTAAACAGATTTATAGAATGAACATGTAATAATAGTCAGATATATTGAAGTTTAATATAAATATAAAGGTATGTGAGGTACAGAGACAGAAACTATTAAACACACTTATGCGAAGTGATACGATATTTAGAAGACAATACACAGTCTTCAACAAAAGATAAGTGTCTATACATTTTGTTGATTTCAAAGTCGCCATAATCGACAGGAATCTACGCAAATTGTGAGTACATTGACAAGATGACAAAAAAAAACCTGCATTAATATCAAATACTATTATAGAGGACAGTTCACTAGTACAAGAAAACACCACAACCAACGAGGCTTCTGACGTTGAACAGGTTCAATGAACATATCTAACTATTTGGTTTTGCTGTTTCCGGCGTCGGCGGTCTCAGTTGTGCTTGTGATTATACTAAAGGTCACACTAAGCATATCTCTGTGTTAATATATTATTTTGTTTTCAATCCTACATATGTGAATTTTTTTTGTCAACACTTAGACAACTGTATAAACTGTAAAAAATATTTTTTCTAAGCAAGTAAATCTTTAAACAATTGTAAATCGTGACAGTTTTTGAACTTGTCTATAATACAATATAAGATTAGGAAGATGTGGCATAATTGCCAATGAGACAACTCTCCACTAGAGATTAAATGACGTAGAAGTTTGTTTTATATTTAATTCAAAGGTAATCGCCTAAATGTGTATAATCGAGATAACTTTTTAGCGTTATTACATACAATCATTGATCATGGTTAACGATATTCTTTAACATTACGTAAACTCTACCCTGTTCTATCAATGGAAATCAAAGTGTAAAATCCTTTAATTATATAATAATCTAAGAGTCAACAGTTTGATCATTTCGATGGGGAAACGTCAAGAAAAGACATTGGAGACGGGTAAGAATTTTGGAATTGGTTTTAAGGGAAATTAAAAAAAAAACACACGTATAAGGCACCGGTTAATGCGAAATAATTTCCGGATCAACCTTCATCAGGAACGATGATGAAAGTCAAAAGTTACCTGTTTGTGGCACTCAAATAACATTACTTACAATGACATTTATCTAGCGAAAATATCAAAGCATATCAAGCGGTTTTAATTGATACGTGCAAAGATTAAAAAAAAAATTCACGAGTTTAAAAATTCATTTCACGCTATTGGGTTACAGATTTATCATGTGGTTTTCATATTTTATTTGTTTAAGCAAGTTAATAGAGAAATTATAATTATCCAGATCAAACAAACACTCATTTTAGTGGTTACATTGTGTAAAGTATGTATAGCTAGCTGCAAGAAATAAATTTATATTTTAGAAAAGGCACGGAAAAGATGGGACAAACTGAAACGTTTTGTACAAACTGGTGCTTACTTAGACGATTGGAGTGCTCCACAATCCTTAATGACAGTTGCGAATGCAATTCGTCGAATGAACTCTAGAGAAAAGACAATGTTATCTGTTGGATTCGAAACATCTCGAAGTAATAAAATTTTAGATACTCCACGAAGCTGTGAATCATCAGAAAATAAAATCATAGAACATTTACAACGCGAATTGACAAAAAGGGACATTTCTCTTTCATCCAAATCAGTATCACGACCTATCCTTATGTCTTCAAAGCACAGACCATTAAATACTTCAGATTTATTACGCGAGACTACTGGTACCGAGTTTGAATATGACGAAGGCGAAGGTAAGTTTTGAAATTAAATTAAAAGTATCAACTAACCGGTACAATGCAAATATATTTTACATTTACTATAAAACCGACCAGTATTGTTAAACTTGAATAAAAAATCCATTTTATATCATAAAAAAATATACGAATCATACTGAAATTTTTACTTGTCTGTTTAGTTTTTACCAATATGTTTTTAAGCATGAACATGCTATTTATTCATCTGTATCATGCTAGTGCCAAGAAATGATGGAGCCAATTAAGTGAGAGGAAAGAAATACAATCTAATATCCTATCTTATCAAATATTTAATGATGTTATTACCTGTGTGTCAAACTGTATCCGATAGCTGGTTTCATCATAAGTTACCCGACAATTTCATTTCGAATACCAACGAATTCGTTTAAATTTTGATTAAACTTTTCTAATCGTTTGTCATTACTCCATATACGAGTATTAATAATACATATATTAATGTACTCGTGGTTTAAACTTATGTCTATCATTTAATGTCTTATGTTGACCTCTGACCAGATATCTTATTGTCATGCTCGCTTACGATATAAAGGGCGCATAAAGTTTTCTGGTATAGCGTTTGTCCATTATTTCGTCCGTCCCGTATTAGGTTAAAGTTATTGGTTAAGAATGTTTACCTTGAAGTTGTCACATCAATTTGAAACTTAGTACACACAGGTGTTCTTTAAGTTGTGAACCTTTAAATTATATGTTAAATTTTAAATTGACCCCAATTGTATAGCTCACTGAACATGGAAATTTGATAGTGTGAAAACAGTACATTCTAAGGTTTAAACTTTTATCATGAAGTTGTGGTCACATCAACTTGAAACTTAGTACACATGTTCATTTGGATATAAACTTTTTTAATTATACGCCAATTACCGCTTTGAAAAAAATTTCACAGTTCACTGGAAAAGTACAATAGTAGTGCTAGCGGGTCATGGTGCCATATATGTTTCTTGTTTTGTTTGTTGCTTGGGTTGACGTTTGAATCGATACACATCATGTTTAAATCATGGTTTATTTTTATCGATTTAAATATATCTAACTTGAAAATTCTTTTTCAATGAAATTTAACAAGAATAAATGATGCTTAATTTCAGAAGTAAAATTAGCAGATTTGAAGTCAGTGACGAGAGAAAAAAGACGATTAGTTAAAACTGAAGACATTTATTATGCTGCATGCTCTTTATGTAGAGTGTCGCCAGTATCAAACTTTTTAAAACAATGTTCAACGTTCAAAGCAGATCTCAAAAACAGTTTCCTGTCAGCTAGAGATGTTAAAGCACTATCTATATCATTAGTTGTAAGTAATTTTGATAGTAACGATCGTGTACTTCGTTAAATAAATGAAGATGTAAAATTCTTTACTTCTATGACTTTGTAATTATTCCTTTTGTATTAATTTTCTTACACTATTCATTGATTTGTTAAAACCAACACGAGCCCCTCATTTCTGAGGGACGGGTTGCGTATTCGATACATCCCACATAATCATGGACGCTCCTTAGGATAAAGGGTAGTAATCATTTGCCGGTGAATCTTGGTCACATTCGTATACCACGTAATTCGACGTTTAACAATGAAATGTTCAAAAGAAGTAACTTTAATTACATTAATTGTATTGAAATGGTTCTGATTTTCATATTAGAAGTATTGCAAAAATAGATAATTTTTGTCTACTTTATCATCTGTATAGAACACTTATGAATCACTGATATTATTTAAAAAAAAAGACGTAAAAATATATAAAACATTTCCAATATGTATATATTACTTTGTAGCGAGATAATAGAATTTGTTCATTAGATGTGTCAGGAAATGAAATTGGTGCTATTGGTGTTATGTATGTCGCTGAAATGATGGTCGAAAATAACACAATTGTTGAACTGGTGAGTAAATTTTGGAATTTGATATCAGTTGAGATAATTTTATACTACTTAATAACATCAAAGGCTGTCAATAAAGAGTTTTAAAAATATAACTGGTCACTAAATGTCACAACAGCAAGCAAACTTTGCTCAAACGTGATTGTAATTTCGGAACGCTGAATGTTCCATATTCTTTGAAGATCTACAATAACGCATTTATCTTAGTCAAAGCTTCTTTTCTATTCATATGTTTTAAATTATCTGATATCGGAATTCACTTTAACCTGATTTAGTACAATCGGCAAAGTCTGTTTCCGATGCTTGATCGAGTCCACTTAAACCTGATGTGGTACAATCGACAGAGTCTGTTTCCGATGCTTGACCGATTCCACATATTGCCACTTGAAATTGTAACATTATATAAGAGTTGCATTTATTGCTGAAAACGACATGAAAATTTAAGATACAAATAAAATATTTTTATTCTATATGGTATTTATTGCGCTTATGAACGGAATCAATTTCGCCATATTAACCCGTATACATAGTGGCGGATTCAGTGGCGGGCGAAGAATGCGCTCCCTTTGATCCAAAAAATAAAATTTTATGGCATGCAATCTTCAGCCATTTCAATGTTTGGAAAAGAAGGAATCTTCATCCAGCGCAATCAACATATCAACAGAAATCAACTGTTATATATATTATACTTTGGTTTATTTAATGATCCGGAAAGCAGGATATTTTGATTTGATGAAACCAATTTGAAAGTTCTATGTACGGTTTTAGAGGACATTTATGCTGATTTGGAAAATTTGTCATCAAACATATTCACCCAAAATATACCTAAAATTGATTGAATATCTTGTTTCTCCGAAGGGATTTTTATTCGAGCGAGTATTTGTTTAAATCGTTTCAAAAATACATGATCGTTTAGAAAAAACCAATACACACAATAATAACTTTTGCAGAGGCCTATACCCAGATATGAAAAAAATCCCTTGGACCAGGAATATATAAACATATAAATATTGTATTTATATTTACTGTAAAAAGGACATAGCAATTGATTTTATCGATGGGATATTTAAGAACAGTTATTAACAAAATGGGTAATTGCGTAATGAAAAATCTTTTTTTTTTGCCATTTTAATGTTTTAGATCTATGCCATATTTACAAAGCTCTCAGCTCAAAAGCAAAAATACATAAAAAACAGGTTAAAAAAAAACCATTTTATCTTCAAATGTATTTTACTTGATAAAATTATTCTCAAAGGAATAGAAATATATATAAAAAAATATGTTTGAAATTTCTTTATAAATATGACGATGATGGCTGTTTATTAAGTTAAATGCATATTCAGGACGAAAACATCACGGTTATTGTGATATGAATATGAACACTGCATTTCCACAATGTTGTTTGGTCATTTCCCAAATAAGTAAAGGACACACAAGAAATCGTTCTGTTTTATGAATGAACCTCCGTTACCGATGATTTAACTTTGAACACTTATTTTAATTAAATTTTCATACAGTATATAATTTTTCATAACAAATATCTGCCAATGAACAACAACAAGGAGTCTCTTCTTTCATGTTTAAATCACAGTTGAGGGAAAGAACAGTAAATGTATAATGAAACATTGTATACTATTTACATTAAAAAGTAAGTTATGTCTTATTCCTTTTATATGTGGATTAATATTTAATAAGTGTCATATTAGGTGAAAAGTTAACGGGTTGTTGTATTAAATAGATTCAGCATTATGATACTTACTCACCCGTTAGACCTCCTACCTCTGTCAACGAGTACATATTGAATATCAAATGAGAAAGTTATATGAGCTATAATAATGTTTATCATGAGGAAAATCCAAATTTGTTAATATATTTGTAATTCAATTTTTAATATCTTTTATGAATAATATATCAATAGAGATGTAAAGTCATGATAACTATCTGTAACATTCGCTCTGATAATCACCTGAAATACTTAGTCAATATTTAGTAATTAAAGAATTTTATTTTTCACCGTCATCTCTTTTCATATTCTAGGTAATAATTATTGGTTTTTTTCTCTCTTAACTTACTATATTATTAAAAACACTTGCGGAGACTTACCTTTCCGGATCACCTACTGGATTAACTCGGTTTTCTGTTGTAGTTACAATGTATTTAGTTTTTCCGTGCTGTTGTATTTTGTTTTGTCTTTTAGCTATAGCATTTTGGCGGTAGTCATAGTGTTGTTTTTATATCTTCGACTTATGATTTCGATCGAACCCTTGGTAGATTCTATTGGAGTTTTTTTTCCTGAAAACTTTCTCTTTCCCAATTATTTACAGGGAAAGAAAGTAACTTTATTGTATTTTCATTTGTTAATTCTGTGACAAGTTTATGTACAAATTGTTAAATGACATAGTTTCCATATCAACTCGATATCACACAGGCCCGATATTTCGACACATGAATGTCTGATGAAAGTGTTCTTAGTGGGATAGTGTGATAGTTAAAGGACAGCATGAAATCGATTAAAGAATCATTTTTTATCAGTCCTTAACCAACATGAGCTCTTTTAATTCTTTATCATGAAACTTGACTTTTTCATGACATCTGCCAACACTGATTAATTATTTGATATTTGGTTGTTGCCTGCCTGATGTCTTATGGGAAATATTTCATTCATTCAGGTAGAGATCATATTTACTAAACAAAAGGAAGGTTCTGTGAGAAAGGAGACCGGGATGAAGGACAGAAATTTTCAATTCCATGCACTGGAAAATGGGGACACGTTTGAAAAGGGCCGATATTTTGTCTTGCAATATGGCAACTACGGCACCAAAATGAGTTGGTGCAAATATTGTTCAACGTTAAAAACAGCGTTGCACTGACCCTACACGGGTGTTAACACTGTTTGTGGTAAAGCTGTTTATTCAGGCCCTAAAAAGACGTGTTTATTTTGCATGTGACCTTGTTGCTGTTATGTAGGCCAGCCCTTCTTAATTTCTAAATCAAGCATACTGTTTCTTAAATGAAGTAATTACATTGATTAGTGAAATAATTAACACGGTGAACGGAAATAAAAATCGCAATCGACGATTAATTTCATTTGTAATCAATATATTGTTTAATAAATGACGAATTAGATGTAGTTTGAAAATAGATAAAAATCTAAGAACGCTCTTATTGATTAATACACTTTTGTCTTTTAAACAGCAGACAAAACTGAAAAGTAAAGCTTTGGGATCCAATAATAACGTGTTTTGCATGGGTTACGTATCGTTTTGCACTTCAGTCATAGTAGAGTCATTATTAATATCCATAAAGAAATAAAATATCTTGATGTGTCAGTGCTCTTTTAAATGTGCGTAGTGTCTCTTTATTTTACAATGCCATTGTTGAACAGTTGTTGAATGTCTTTGTCCGTTATAGTCGGATATTTATTCACGTTACCCCCTTTTGTGTAGTTTTCTATTAACATGAGTAGAATTATTGATATCTAGCAAAGTATTCTGCTAAATTCGGAGCTACGGACACATTTATCAAGCAGTGTGTAAGGACGTTTTGGATCAATAAAACTATGCTTCTTTTCATTAATAAATACGGAAGCATAATAGCGCCACACAAAACTAATTTTTTTTATATTTCTTCCTATTTTTGCGAAATAACGCAAACATTTGCGAAATAACACACACTTTGTGAATTAACGCAAACATTTTGATTTTAATCATTCATTAAGTTTTGTATATCTATAATCAAAAACTATATTGAATTTACATTTTACATTTATTATATAATATGAAAGCAGTATTTTGAAATTATCAGCATTTGCACGTCCGTCTGCCAGTAAAATTTTGTTGTAATTTAGGTAAGAGAAGGACCATGAACCCAAGGACAAATCATTAACATTAAAGAAACATAGGAATAAGGCAATAATAGTATCGACCTTATACACAAATTAAAAATGAAATTCACTTCATTTGAACTTTGGTGGATAGTTTTCTCTTTGGCAATCATACAACATCTCCTTATTATACGCATGTCTAAGACGGTACCTATTATAATATACCGTTGTCCGTCCGTCCGTCGTCAACACTTCAGACGATAAGTCACAAATTTTAATGAAACTTTGGTGAAATGTTTATATCTATTGACATAAGCTCCCTTGTGATTTCTATATATTTTAGATATTACGTTTCTGAGTTATGAGATTTTTATCATAAAAAATGGGATATTTTCTAGTTTTCTGACTATAACTCACTTTTAGCAATTATCATGAAACTTTGGTGAATTGTTTATATATATTGACAAAAGTTCCCTTTCGATTTCTAAAAAAATTTGATTTTACATTTTTGGAATATTGTGACTTGAGTATTGTGACTTTATTCATAAAAAGGGGGGTCCAGTTTTGGGACAATAACTCAAAAACGCTTTGAACAGTTTTCATGAAACTTTGGTGACTTGTTTATACCTATTGAAATAAGCTCCCCCTTTTTTATATAAAGTTCTGATGTGAAATTGCGGAGTTATGGGACCTTATTCTTTGAAAAATCATTGAAAATCACAGTATTTCTATAGTTGATCATATACATTCATTTAAAGCATGAAAACGAGCTAAAAGAGCATCGGGCGTATCATGTGTTCATGGCGCAGCTCTTTATTTTCATATGGTATGGACAAATTTTAATTGAAAGGCCAAGCTTTAAAAAAAATTGATTTACGGAAAGTGGCAAAGTAGAGAAGAGCAAAACAAATTTTATACAATTGTGAAACGATAAAGATGATATTTTGGCTTTAAGCTGAAATTATTTAAAGGAAACATTTTGAATTTTGATGTAAGAAATCGTTTGTTGAAACCTCAGAATATGACACAGACTCTTTGATAAAAAATCAAATGATTTTAAATCTTATTCTAGTAAGGTAGCTACATAATATGCTTTGGTAGCAATTATAATGTAGAGTACATAATTATAATAATAATCTCCATCTTATACCTTTATTTCAATAGGGTAGCTTGTTTGGCTTCTTTGGTATGACTTCGTTTTACTCAAATTTCTTTTTAATATTCTCCTGCTCAGTATTATGCCATGATATATGCTAAGCATTTTACTTTGCAAGTAATGAGAAGAGTGATAATATTCAATATTTGCAACCCCCTCTATTCACAACAGCTGCTTACCTTGAAACTTAAATAAGACATAAAATGACACAAATGCTCGCGTTCAAAGGTTTGCGATATATTGCAGAGATTTACGTTACTTCGCAAGGTTTGCGTTCAATGGAGAAATAATGCTCGCGTTCAAAGGTTTGCGATATATTGCAAAGATTTACGTTACTTCGCAAGGTTTGCGTTCAATGGAGAAATAATGCTCGCGTTCAAAGGTTTGCGATATATTGCAAAGATTTACGTTACTTCGCAAGGTTTGCGTTCAATGGAAGAACTATAAAAAAGTGTGTGTGGTGCTAATACGCTTCCGTTAAGAAAAGTACATTTTTGACAAATGGAAAACATCTGTGTCCTGTTTGACAAATGTAATTGTCTCCAATACTTTAATACTATAGATTATTATGTTTTCAATTTACTTGCAAATTCTTTTCGTGAAAATGTATTTTTGACCAATTTAATTTCCTGTTGTAAATTATAATTTACAGTTTCCATTAGGTGTGGTTTTTCTGTTATCAATGTTTAGAAGATTCCATGCATGCAACATTAATTGTCCTCTAGGAATACATTCGTGTTGAAAAGGACATCTTAGTGTTTTTACTTACTTCAGTTTAATCCTTTGATACATCAATAGTGAATTTGTTCAATTTTTTTTTCAGAATTTGAGTGGTACTATACCAGGAAAAGAAGGGCTAGAGGCTTTAGCCGATCTAATTAAAAACAATAAAACTTTACGAATATTACGCTTGGAAGGTAAATTATTTTGTCATAGCATTATTATTATAATTTGATGTGATTGCAACGCCACCTGTGCTGTAAAGGGAAATAAATCACTCCGGTTTATCATTTGCAAGAACAGTAAAAACGTTGTTATAAGTAACTGCTACCCTGTGCACATACCAACTAGAAATGTCGCGAATTGTATCAAAAATCAATCTCTTTTTTAACCGGCTCAGTGAAATGTTGAATAAATTGAACGGTGTAAAAACTTTTGAAATGAAAAATTAAAAAAAGACAGATAAACCACGATAAATAATACTCCAAAAACAATACCCAAGTACAGATAAAATCATTGAAGACTAAACCTAAAATACTTTTTATTACATTTGTTATATTTTCTATTGTGTAGATGTTGCAGATATATTTTGAAATTTCCAATTTACAAAATAGAAAATATAACACATTTATTAGCAAGTCATACGTGAATTTATTTCAGATAATAAAATAGAACACACAGAGATGGAACATATCATAAGTATAATAGAAGTAAGTACGCATTAAATAATTTATTATACATATTCATATTTTATAAGTAAACAAAAAATACAATCTGAACATTAATATCATAGATTAAACTCCTTACTAGCATCCAAGAAAATCATAGTACTACGTTGACATGATTTAAAGTTCACAAGATTAACAAACAGTTTTAGATCGAACATTTTGGCATCGAATATTACTAAAGAAATTTGACGCTTAAAGGCATATTTTTCATATTTTACAGTACTGAGACGATACTGCTCCTCGTGGACTATCAGTCCCCGAGGAAATCATCAGCTCAGTAGTCAATACTTCGGTACTGACATGATTTATAACAATCCTTTCTGAAATTATCCGTTTATAAATTTATAGATTATTAAGAAACTAAGGTTTCAGCTCCTTCAGGCAAAGTTGACCTTAGATGGGTTTGGCTATTTTTTTTTGGGGTACTTTTTGGTCATATATCTCTTCAACTGTGTTGAATCTTATACATATTTGGCTTTCAAATACTTAGCTTTGAGCGTTCCTGATGAAGAAAAATCTGCCTAAGCGCTTCTATGGAAAGCCACAGTGAACCCCCCGATTATTATTATTTTTCTTTTAAAAATACATGGATACAAATAAATCTTCGGCTTTTAAAATCTTCGGCTTTCCAAAATCTTCGGCTTTCCAGTGAACCCCCTGATTATTATTATTTTTCTTTTAAAAATACATGGATACAAATAAATCTTCGGCTTTTAAAATCTTCGGCTTTCCAAAATCTTCGGCTTTTCATAATCTTCGGCTTTTCAAAATCTTCGGCTTTTCAAAATTCACCGCCGATTATTATATTATAAAATCTTCGGCTTTTAAAAGTCTGAAAATCTTCGGCTTTTCAAAATCTTCGGCTTTCAAAATCTTCGGCTTTTCAAAATCTTCGGCTTTCCAAAATCTTCGGCTTTCCAAAATCTTCGGCTTTTCATAATCTTCGGCTTTTCAAAATCTTCGGCTTTTCAAAATTCACCGCCGATTATTATATTATAAAATCTTCGGCTTTTAAAAGTCTGAAAATCTTCGGCTTTTCAAAATCTTCGGCTTTCAAAATCTTCGGCTTTTCAAAATCTTCGGCTTTCCAAAATCTTCGGCTTTCCAAAATCTTCGGCTTTTCATAATCTTCGGCTTTTCAAAATCTTCGGCTTTTCGAAATTCACCGCCGATTATTATATTATAAAATCTTCGGCTTTTAAAAGTCTGACCCCCGCCGATTATTATCAATTGTAAAATCTTCGGCTTTTAATCAAGAGCCCGCAGATTATTTTCAATAATAAAATCTTCGGCTTTTATAAACCAAACCAAAAATAATCTCCGGGACCCGAATATTATGATTGTATAATCTGCGGGGAAATATAAAAATGCAAAGAATTACATCAAATGCAGACGCGGAACCGAGAAATACATTCGAAACTCTCTAGATTTGCATATTCTGGTTCATTACACCAAGAAAGGTTGAGATAGATAGATAGGTGTTATTGTTGAAAAGACAACTGAAAACCTCAAACACGCAAGCACATGCAGACTATATAGTATGTATGTATATATTTAAGTGTGTGCGTAAGCGTCTGTATGATTTTTAAGCCCCCGTTACAAAATAGGGGTGGGGTATAAATTTACCCCTGTCCGTCCGTCTGTTCGTCCGTAAGATGCATTGTTTGTCCGGCTATCTCCTACAGTTTTGGAGGTACAACTTTAATATTTTGTAGGATGTTCATACACATTAAAAAGGCGTTCATGGCCAAAGGATTTTGATTTCTTCCAAATATTGTGACAATTATAGCTGATCACAGGAATCCATGACAAATCGCCCTACTGGCAAATCACCCAACACCTAATCGCCCCACTTTTTCACCAACTCGCCCCACTTCCTAAAAAATCGCCCCACTCTTGTTTACCAACTCGCACCACTTATGAAAAGGGTAAAATCCTATTGAAAATAGGTTGGATAACTTGCCCCACTTATGAAAAGGGTTAAAATCCCACTGAAACAAGGTCTGCCAACTCGCCCAACTCATGACAAATAGATAAACCACAATGAATTTAGTAATGCCAACTCGCCCCACTTATGTAAAATCGCCCCACTCTTGTTTACCAACTCGTCCCACTTATGAAAAGGGTAAAATCCCCCCATTGAAAATAGGTTGGATAACTTGCCCCACTTATGAAAAGGGTTAAAATCCCGCTGGAATAAGGTCTGCCAACTCGCCCCACTCATGACAAATAGATAAACCACGATGAAACCAAGATCTCTATTTGCAGCTGTAGTACCAAGAAAATTACCAAGTCCAACTTAGGCAACTACAGCTGTGATCAGCTATAATTGTCACAATATTTGGAAGAAATCAAAATCCTTTGGCCATGAACGCCTTTTTAATGTGTATGAACATCCTACAAAATATTAAAGTTGTACCTCCAAAACTGTAGGAGATAGCCGGACAAACAATGCATCTTACGGACGAACAGACGGACGGAGGTAAATTTATACCCCACCCCTATTTTGTAACGGGGGCTTAAAAATCATACAGACGCTTACGCACACACTTAAATATATACATACATACTATATAGTCTGCATGTGCTTGCGTGTTTGAGGTTTTCAGTTGTCTTTTCAACAATAACACCTATCTATCTATCTCAACCTTTCTTGGTGTAATGAACCAGAATATGCAAATCTAGAGAGTTTCGAATGTATTTCTCGGTTCCGCGTCTGCATTTGATGTAAGTCTTTGCATTTTTATATTTCCCCGCAGATTATACAATCATAATATTCGGGTCCCGGAGATTATTTTTGGTTTGGTTTATAAAAGCCGAAGATTTTATTATTGAAAATAATCTGCGGGCTCTTGATTAAAAGCCGAAGATTTTACAATTGATAATAATCGGCGGGGGTCAGACTTTTAAAAGCCGAAGATTTTATAATATAATAATCGGCGGTGAATTTTGAAAAGCCGAAGATTTTGAAAAGCCGAAGATTATGAAAAGCCGAAGATTTTGGAAAACCGAAGATTTTGGAAAGCCGAAGATTTTGAAAAGCCGAGGATTTTGAAAGCCGAAGATTTTGAAAAGCCGAGGATTTTGAAAGCCGAAGATTTTGAAAAGTCGAAGATTTTCAGACTTTTAAAAGCCGAAGAATTTATAATATAATAATCGGCGGTGAATTTTGAAAAGCCGAAGATTTTGAAAAGCCGAAGATTATGAAAAGCCAAAGATTTTGAAAAGCCGAAGATTTTGAAAGCCGAAGATTTTGAAAAGCCGAAGATTTTAGAATTGATAATAATCGGCGGGATTTTAAAAGCCGAAGATTTATTTGTATCCATGTATTTTTTAAGAAAAATAATAATAATCAGGGGGTTCACTGTGGCTTTCCATAAATGCAGACGCGGAACCGAGAAATACATTCGAAACTCTCTAGATTTGCATATTCTGGTTCATTACACCAAGAAAGGTTGAGATAGATGGATAGGTGTTATTGTTGAAAAGACAACTGAAAACCTTAAACACGCAAGCACATGCAGACTATAAAGTACGTGTGTATGTATATATTTAAGTGTGTGCGTAATCGTCTGGAAATCTTTTATTCATTATTGAATTTTGAATAATGAAAAATGAATAATGGACGTACTTCAGCGCGGTGAATTTATTATTGAAAATAATCTACGGGATCTTGATTAAAAGCCGAAGATTTCATTATTGAAAATAATCTGCGGGCTCTTGATTCAAAGCCGAAGATATTATTATTGAAAATAATCTGCGGGCTGATTAAAAGCCGAAGATTTAACAATTCATAATAATCGGCGGCCATTTGATCAAAAGCCGAAGATTTTATGATATAATAATCGGCGGTGAATTTTGAAAAGCCGAAGATTTTGAAAAGTCGAAAATTTTGAAAGCCGAAGATTTTCAAAAGCCGGAGATTTTGAAAAGCCGAAGATTTTGAAAAGCCGAAGATTTTGAAAGCCGAAGATTTTGAAAAGCCGAAGATTTTGAAAAGCCGAAGATTTTGAAAGCCGAAGATTTTGAAAAGCCGAAGATTTTGAAAAGCCGAAGATTTTGAAAGCCGAAGATTTTGAAAAGCCGAAGATTTTGAAAAGCCGAAGATTTTAGAATTGATAATAATCGGCGGGATTCTGAAAGCCGAAGATTTATTTGTATCCATGTATTTTTAAAGGAAAAATAATAATAATCGGGGGGGGGGGGGGTTCACTGTGGCTTTCCATAGAGTACAAACAAACACCTCATTCTAAATTAACAGCTTAAATAAAAATATTATGTTATTATTATACGACGAATGTTCACAAATTCATTATTTTATTCAGAATGTACCTACTTTAGAGGAAATACACCTTGGACATAACTCGTTAGGATTTGAAGGAGGAAATATGTTGGCTAAATTAATTGGTAATTATGAATTAAGTAAACGTTTGGTATACGTATATGAAAACAAAAACTATTAAAAAAAAAAGACATATAAAGGTCAACATACACGGTATACAAACATTGACAGATGTCTATACAGTATGTTAAGCCCTACATTACTCGAAGTCTTAGAAAGTATAAGCCTTATAATGATAGACTATATCGATAAAAGAGAAAACATATATATATATATATATGGGTAAAAAGATGTGAGCATACTGACTGGCTTATATGGAGCAGCTAACAAACAACACAATTTCATGAAAAATTTATCTCCAGAGTTACTGGGTTTTCTTCTTTGTATTTTTTAATTTATAACTTTGTGTTTTATTCGGCGCTACTGTATTCTTTTCTTTGATAACTACATTATAAATATGAATAAAATGAGGTGATAGGTGATGAGACACCAACCCAACAACACAATAAACAACAAAGATTGTAGTTGTACTCTGTGAACAGATAAAACGGATAAATGATGTTGATTGAAGAAACACAAATCAACTTATGTCGCAAAGAGTGCCAAACACCCTTATGTCGCAAAGAGTGCCAAACACCCTTATGTCGCAAAGAGTGCCAAACACCCTTATTATCGTTCTCCTATACGGATCAATCATTCATTGTTCCGCAATTTCAAAGAATTGAAGTTGTAATTGTAATCATACTCAAACGATGTATTTCAAAATTCATTATATTGTGTTCCAGCTACAAATACAACGTTAAAAGTATTAGATTTACAGTGGAATCAGATTCGAAAAGACACAGCTAAATCAATATGTAAAGCTCTTGCGGTAGGTTGAAATTTTTCTTTAATCAAAGTATTGGTCACCCTTTTAATGATAAAGCATAGCTGTCCATACAATTCTACAAATATTGTAGGTCTTTTATATTTAGGATATGAAAATTCTTGTTTAATGCCTTTCCAGTAATGCGCAACAAGCTTTAAGTATTGTACTTTTTACATTATTTTCAAAATCTTTATGATCAAAACCACGTATTATTTGGTAATCTTATTAACAGAGTTTTAGATCCTACGTTTGGGTGATTCGTCTGTTATGCTTCGTTACTATGTACAAACAGAGATGTGGGGGTATACACCAATGCGATAGCAGCTCAACGACAAAAAGAATAAAAAAAAAAAAACAAATAGATTTATCTATGAAAAAATATCTGTATTCTGGTATTCGATTTGGCTTGTAAAACATTTTGAGGTCGTTGTTTCTATTTGAGTTTTCATTCTGTTCATACCATAAAGAAATACGAGTTTATCTAACCAAATATGGTTCATTATAAATGATTTAAGAATTATATACAAACTTTTCTGATCGGACGTGGCTGCGTATATATGTGCCCCACAGATTTTATAATTTAATGCAATGGGAATATAAGGTTTATGTGTTACTTACTTTTTAATATACTTGTGCATCACCCTTGGTATCTTTCCTACTTAACCCTGTATCAACATGTTTTAATCTCGCAGGACAACCAAACATTGTGGAGTTTGAATTTGTCATGGAATGGTTTAGGGAAAGAAGGATGTATAGAGCTAGCACAATCTTTAAAGAAAAATACCAAATTAGCGGATCTGAACGTTTCCAGTAACCGAATTGACATGACGTCTTTACGTTTTCTGCTCCATGGACTAGTGCAAAATAAGGGAATTCGATATTTTCAGGTTTGGATGCTTATATCAAATATGATCCAGAAAAAAAACTCATTTACAATTTAATGCGAATGATTTGAAATAGAATTTGCAGTTTAAATAAACCATCAACATTAATGGCAAACTTACATGATTTTATGCAGTGCATATAATTTAGTAGAACTATTTCTACAGATTTGTGTAATAATTCAAAAATTTATTTGAAAAATATCAGAATAATGAACTAATTTAAAAGGTGAAAAAAATAATGAAAAGGCAAACCAGTTAATAGAATTGTTCTTTTCAGAAACCTTTAATTTTAAAGTTAATTTGAGTTAAACTGATTCGCCTGCCTTTTGGTAGACAACTTGTTTCCAGATATCGCTCAATTGTATAATAAAGTAACCATGTATAAAAGTAATACGAATGACTTTTACAAAATGTGCTGCTTATTTAAATGTATTCAATGTGCAGCACGTTTGCTTTCTATTCGAACTATCGATCTTATTAAGTCTCCCAAACGAAGTTTGGGAAGACTTATTGGTTTTGCTCAGTTATTATTATTAAGTCTCCCAAACGAAGTTTGGGAAGACTTATTGGTTTTGCTCAGTTCTTATTATTATTATTATTCTTGCTCTTCCGCCACTTTTTTTAATGAACTTGTCCGCACCATTTCTCCAAAACCGCTTGTCAGATTTACTTAAGGTTTCACAATATGTTAGATTAACATGTCTATTGGTGCAATCAGGGTTTCGTTTGTGCATTGGGGTCTAAAAAGGGGTACTTTGAGGTAGGGATCACCCCCACCCCCTGCCATTTGATAAAGTTCTAATATCTTGCAAATGGTTGAGATCCCCACCCCTAAACCATATATATTCCTGTTCATCATGTCACAAAGATTCGAATGATATATAGGGTCAGTCCCCAGGGGTCCCCCCACCCCCAATGATCTAATATCTTGTAAATGGTCGAGATCCCCACCCGTAAACCATATATATTCTGGTTTGTCATGCCAAGATGATTTGAATGATATACAGGGTCAGTCCCCAGGCATTACTAATGCATATAACTTTATTGGACTTTGCCCAATGTCAGGCGAACCTGAGAATGACGAATTATGGGAGCTTCGTTTGGGAGACTTCGTAACAGCATCCTGTTACAATCATTTCTTGTTTATTTATTATTCTTGCTCTTCCGCCACTTTTTTGAATGAACTTGTCCGCACCATTTCTCCAAAACCGCTATTCAGATTTACTTAAGGTTTCACAATATGTTAGATTCACATGTCTAGTGGTGCAATCAGGGTTTCGTTTGTGCATTGGGGTCTAAAAAGGGATACTTTGAGGGGCCAAACGAAGGGAGGGGTTTACTATAGAACCCTATGGGATTTTTTTTTCAAATGATTATAACTTGAAAACCGTTAGTGATAGACACAATCTTTATAACTGAAAATGTTCTACATGATAAAGCACATCTAATGAAATAAAGGGTTTGTCCCCAGGGGTCATCCCACCCCCTGCCATTTGACAAAGTTGTAATATCTTGTAAGTGGTCAAGATCCCCACCCCTAAACCATATATGTTCTGGTTTGTCATGATAAAGCACATCAAATGAAATAAAGGGTAAGTCCCCAGGGGTCACCCCCACCCCCTGCCATTTGAAAAAGTTCTAATATCTTGTAAGTTGTCGAGATCCCCACCCCTAAACCATATATATTCTTGTTTGTCTTGATACAGTCCATCAAATGAAAAAAAGGATTAGTCCCCAGGGGTCACCCCAACCCCCTGCCATTTGAGAAAGTTGTAATATCTTTTAAATGGTTGAGATCCCCACCCCTAAACCATATATATTCCGGTTAGTCATGACACTGCACATTAAATGAAGTAAAGTATAAGTCCCCAGGGATCACTCCCACCCCCTGCCATTTGACAAAGTTGTAATATATTGTAAATGGTTGAGATCCCCTCCCCTAAACCATATATATTCTGGTTTGTCTTGATAAAGCACATCAAATGAAATAAAGGGTAAGTCCCTAGGGGTCACCCCCACCCCCTGCCATTTGAGAAAGTTCAAATATCTTGTAAGTTGTCGAGATCCCCACCCCTAAACCATATATATATTCTTATTTGTCATGATACAGTCCATCAAATGAAAAAAAGGATTAGTCCCCAGGGGTCACCCCAACCACCTGCCATTTGAGAAAGTTGTAATATCTTTTAAATGGTCGAGATCCCTACCCCTTAACCATATATATTCTGGTTAGTCATGATACAGTCCTTCAAATGAAATAAAGGGTAAGTCCCCAGGGGTCACCCCACCCCCTGCCATTTGATAAAGTTCTAATATCTTGTAAATGGTTGAGATCCCCTCCCCTAAACCATATATATTCCTGTTCGTCATGTCACAAAGATTCGAATGATATATAGGGTCAGTCCCCAGGGGTCCCCCAATCCCCAATGACCTAATATCTTGTAAATGGTCGAGATTCCCACCCCTAAACCATATATATTCTTATTCGTCATGCCAAGAAGATTTGAATGATATATAGGGTCAGTCCCTAGGGATCACCCCCACCCCCTGCCATTTGATAAAGTTCTAATATCTTGCAAATGGTTGAGATCCCCACCCCTAAACCATATATATTCCTGTTCATCATGTCACAAAGATTCGAATGATATATAGGGTCAGTCCCCAGGGGTCCCCCACCCCCAATGATCTAATATCTTGTAAATGGTCGAGATCCCCACCCGTAAACCATATATATTCTGGTTTATCATGCCAAGATGATTTGAATGATATACAGGGTCAGTCCCCATGCATTACTAATGCATACAACTTTACTGGGCTTTGCCCAATGTCAGGCGAACCTGAGAATGACGAATTATGGGAGCTTCGTTTGGGAGACTTTGTAATAGCATCCTGTTACAATCATTTCTTGTTTATTTATTATTCTTGCTCTTCCGCCACTTTTTTGAATGAACTTGTCCGCACCATTTCTCCAAAACCGCTATTCAGATTTACTTAAGGTTTCACAATATGTTAGATTCACATGTCTAGTGGTGCAATCAGGGTTTCGTTTGTGCATTGGGGTCTAAAAAGGGATACTTTGAGGGGCCAAACGAAGGGAGGGGTTTACTATAGAACCCTATGGGATTTTTTTTTTCAAATGATTATAACTTGAAAACCGTTAGTGATAGACACAATCTTTATAACTGAAAATGTTCTACATGATAAAGCACATCTAATGAAATAAAGGGTTTGTCCCCAGGGGTCATCCCACCCCCTGCCATTTGACAATGTTGTAATATCTTGTAAGTGGTCAAGATCCCCACCCCTAAACCATATATGTTCTGGTTTGTCATGATAAAGCACATCAAATGAAATAAAGGGTAAGTCCCCAGGGGTCACCCCCACCCCCTGCCATTTGAAAAAGTTCTAATACCTTGTAAGTTGTCGAGATCCCCACCCTTAAACCATATATATTCTTGTTTGTCTTGATACAGTCCATCAAATGAAAAAAAGGATTAGTCCCCAGGGGTCACCCCAACCCCCTGCCATTTGAGAAAGTTGTAATATCTTTTAAATGGTTGAGATCCCCACCCCTAAACCATATAAGATAAGATAAGATAAGATATTTTATTTCCAATTATGGGCCCCAAAGGGCATAAACATTACAACATCAATAATTTTTTCATAATACAATACAAACAATGAGATAAAAAAAAAAAAGTTAAACGAGAACTATTTAAGTTCTTAAAGAATACGTAGATAAAGAATCTATAGTATGTTGTTTTTTTTAATACTAATGCATTTTATTGCAAGTGTGGTTGATATAGATAACAAACAAGCAGCCCAAAAAGAAAAAAAGAAAAATAGATATCCACATATGTATAGTACACAAAAAGTTGGATCAATTAAATATATAATAATTAGCCAAAAAGAAAGTAGAAATTAAACATGTCCATGACTCATCCTGTGTCAGCAGCAAATAGGAAAGCATTATGGTTTCCTAAAGGCAGCTGACACCAGGGGGCGATACCTTATGGGCCATAGGCATGTAAAATGTGTGTAAATGTCTCTTTCCTACCTGTATCAAAAGCAAACAAGGAAGCATCATAGGTAACTTGAATGCAGTTGATACCAGGGGACGATGCCTCAAGGATATAAGAGAACATTTGAATAAATAATATATCTTAACAATTATTTTTTTTTTTAATCGGCTAGTATGTTTGTGATATTCAGATGAATATAATTTTCTATGTCCAATCAAATGTATATACACACATAGATTTCCTTTAACTAATCTTCACTAAGGAAGATGTTTGTATATAAAATTACATATTATTTTAAGTAACTCAACATTTTCTACACTAAATAACCAGATAATTTTGCTTTGACTGTTCATATGATTAAAATAAGAATTATATTGTGCAATACTAGCTAACATACAGTTTTTATCATCCTCAAATTTGTTACAATCAAATAGAAAATGAGCCTCATCTTCGACAGTATTGGAAGAACATTTATTACATATTCTGTTAATTCGGGGAATACCCTGATATCTACCTAATTCTATTTGTAATCTATGAGAAGATACACGTAATTTAGTAAAACTTCTTCTAAGTTCAAAATTCTTGATCAATGTTAGATATTTTTCAAAACCAAAATTTGTTTTATATAAAAGGTAGGTTTTCAGTTTACTGTGTGAAAATTTATCTATTTGTTTTTTCCAACAGCTAATAAACAATATTGATAGCTTGGTTTGTATATATTTCTTAAATTTGTATAAGGATTCACAAAATGGAGCATTTATGGCATTTGTATAGTCAATACCAAGTATTTTAAAAACAACATTTATTGAACCATACCATGATGTTATATTCATGTGATGTAGTGTCTTTGATTGTGTATATGCCTCTTTTAATAGAGGAAAATTATTACCTAAATTCTCTAATCTATACCAGTACAATAACATTCCTTTTATAATATTAAAATATATTGGAAATCTTCCAAGTTCAGATAACACTGCAGCATTTGTTGTTTTCTTGTGTACCCCAAGTATAAATTTACAAAATTTTATATGAAGTTTCTCACAGGGTAAACCTGAATATAATTTTTCAAAAGATATATCTTCCTTCTTACATTTAGAGGAAAGAGAATTAAACATCCCCCATATTTCGCTACCATATAATAAAATAGGTTTTACAGTGTGGTCAAAAACATGAATACTTGTTTTTACATCAGGATTAAGTGATAAAAGATCTTTCCTTAATTTGAAATGAGCTTTCAGGGATTTTTTGTATAGTTCATTTTGAGCATAACTGAATGAACCAGATGAGCTTAAATATAAACCTAGGTATTTGTATTTTGAAACACATTCCAGATTTATATTCTGAAATGTGAATATCTGTTTTACATGTCTGCCTGCCTTGTTGAAAATCAGCACCTTTGTCTTATTAGTATTCACATTGAGACACCAATCTTTGCAAAATTTATCAAGCATTCCCAGCTTTTCTCGTAGTCCTTCAGCTGATGTAGATAATAAAACAATATCATCAGCATACATTAAACAATGTAGATCTTTGTCATTGACATTAACTGGGTCTCTAGTATCTGACAAATATCTGGGCAAATCATTTATGAATATCTTGAATAAATTCGGACTGAGGTTGTCACCTTGTTTGACTCCAATATCTAATGGGAAAAAATCACTTACTTGATTTTGAATTTTGACACATGATTTGCTAATTTCATACATACTTTTAATAATGTTATAAAAATAAGACCCAGCCCCAATATCTAGTAGTTTAATCTTGATCCCTGTATGTATAACAGTATCAAAAGCCTTCTGAAAATCAACAAAACAGGCAAACAGTCTACCTTCTTTTGAATTACAGTATTTGTTAATAAGACAGTTTAAAATAAACATATGATCTGCAGTTCTGGCTTTCCTTGTGAATCCAATTTGACTATCATGCATAATATTATGTTCCTGAAGAAATTTGTCCAGTCTTAGACTTAATATTCTATTAAAAAGCTTTCCAATTGCACTTGTTATTGTTATTCCTCTATAATTGTTAGGGTCACTTGTATCGTTGCTTTTAAAAATTGGTGTAATATAACCTTCAGCCCAAGATGTTGGGTATATACCTGAAGACAGACAAGTATTAAACATCTGTTGAAAACTTTTTAAAAGGAAAGTCTGTCCATTCTTTATCATATTATTACTAATGTTATCCAAGCCTGATGATTTATTGCATTTTAAGTGTGAAATGGCTTTGGATATTTCAGACTCAGTGATAACGGAGTCCAACTCGTTGAAACATTTTGAGTTTTCTAACTGTTTCAGTTTTTCACATAGCTCTGTATATCTACTTTGAAATTCACCTTTCAGTTGTGACAACTTTTGGAAATGTGATATCAGAGTTGATGGTTGTACTCCACATTTTTTTTTAGTTTCATTTTTTTCCTGTAGTTCATTAATTAAGTTCCAATACAGTTTTGGATTCTCTTCGTGCAAGGAGTCCAGCTGACTAATCAATGATTGTTTGTATTGTTTGTATTTATATTTCCTTAGTTTGGAGTATTCACGATTCAGTTTATAAAAGTGATTTTTGATAATTGGATCATATGGAAATCTTGAATAAATTTTTCCATAATTAAGCAAGTTAGTTCGAGCTTGTTGTAAACTTGCGTCAAACCACTTTTTGTTTTTTTGTTTGTTTGTGTGTTTTTTTAAAGGTCGTTTAAGTGATAGATTTGCTGCTGATAAAAAGATGTTTGAAAGTTTTGATGATGCTTCATCTACTGATGTCTGAGTAAATTGAATTGTGCTGTTGTTGAATTCTAGTATGTAGTTTTGTAGTGTATCTGAAGAAAGTGTTTCTTGAAATTTTATTGCTGAACAGTCAGTCCAGATATGATTAGGTGTCATATTTTTCAACTGGATTGGAATATCATTTTCTCCAGGAACACAATATTTTGCAGATAATTCCCACTCAAGTTTACAATGACAATCAGATAATGTGGGAATAAATCTGGATACTTTAAAATACAGTACATTTTCAAGAATTTCTTCCGACACAGCAACATAATCAACCACACTTGCACCATTGGGGGTATAGCAAGTAAAATTACCAAATGTATCACCAAGAACTCTGCCATTTAAAATTCTTATTTGTTTACTAATGCAAAAATCCAAAACTTCTTTGCCTCTTTGATCAATTTTTTGGTCTCGACTTTTTCTTGTCATAATGTTTTTGTCAGTAGGGTATGTATCAAAAATTGGAGTAAATTTTGAATCATCGTTTACTATAAAGTCATTTTCAGAGCCTATTCTGGCATTAAAATCTCCACATAACAAAATTTCACCCATTTTTTTATACTGAAAGATATCTTTTTCTATGCATTCAAAAACATCAGAAGAGAGTTCTTGGGTATATTTAGACGTAACAGGGGGGTTGTACAGTACACAAATAAATAGGTCACTTTTAAATCCAAAAAAGGATTTTTCTAATTTAATCCATTGATAATCTGGATTACTGTTAATCAATATTTTGACATGAGGTTTAACGTGACTTTTCTGTAGAATTGCTATACCCCCAAAATGACGGTTATTATTTGATAATTTTCTACATATTGGATGATAATGAAATTTACCAATATTGTGTATTTGGGAATTATATCCCACATGAGTTTCGACTAAAAAAACAATGTCGTAATTCTCTATATGTTTCAGAAAAAGGGGATCCTCTGCTTTATTCATGCCCTTTGAAAATAAGCCACCTATATTCCAATAACCAAATTTTACAGATGATTGGTTTGATTTTGGCATTTTGGTTGATACAATTAAATCTGGTATAAATAATAGAATAGATTTTCTATCTATAAAAAAAAAAAAATAATAAAAATTTGTCTCTAAATAAAAGGAAGAGACAACAAGGAAAATATTCAGAAATGTAAATATTTGAAATAAGTAGATTTATTTAGAGGATAGTTTTTACAATGGTTTTCTAAATACAAATAGTCTATGATATAATGACAGATAATTTCTTTTCTATGTATCCTCTTTTAACTGAATAACTATTAAACTGATTTGGGTTGAATAACCTGATATCCTGGGTTAATTCAAGATCAAAAGTATGATTCAAATGTGAAAACTAAAAATAAAAATGAATAAAATAAAATAAAAAAGGCGAACTTTTATACCTAGCAGAGGTTACATATATATGACCATGTAATAGTGTGACTTCTTCACATAATGGCTGTTTCATTTGAAAAATCTATTCAAATGTGAATATGAATTTATCAGCCCAAAAAAAAGAAGAAATATATAAAGTTGTACATGTATATATAAATTATATGTAAATGACTTTAAACATGTTAAAGGAAGTCAACATAATGATATGGTAATATGTATAATATTAAAAAGCAAGTTATTCATGATGACCTCTGCCACGTCCACGTCCACGTCCTCTTGTGTTGCGCGATTTGGATCTACCTCTTGAATTTGGCATGGGAATGTTTAAGGCAGTGTGTATTCCGGTTAGTCATGACACTGCACATTAAATGAAGTAAAGTATAAGTCCCCAGGGGTCACTCCCACCCCCTGCCATTTGACAAAGTTGTAATATATTGTAAATGGTTGAGATCCCCTCCCCTAAACCATATATATTCTGGTTTGTCATGATAAAGCACATCAAATGAAATAAAGGGTAAGTCCCTAGGGGTCACCCCCACCCCCTGCCATTTGAGAAAGTTCTAATATCTTGTAAATGGTTGAGATCCCCTCCCCTAAACCATATATATTCCTGTTCGTCATGACACAAAGATTCGAATGATATATAGGGTCAGTCCCCCAGGGGTCCCCCCACCCCAATGACCTAATATCTTGTAAATGGTCGAGATCCCCACCCCTAAACCATATATATTCTTATTCGTCATGCCAAGAAGATTTGAATGATATATAGAGTCAGTCCCTAGGGATCACCCCCACCCCCTGCCATTTGATAAAGTTCTAATATCTTGCAAATGGTTGAGATCCCCACCCCTAAACCATATATATTCCTGTTCATCATGTCACAATGATTCGAAAGATATATAGGGTCAGTCCCCAGGGGTCCCCCACCCCCAATGATCTTATATCTTGTAAATGGTCGAGATCCCCACCCGTAAACCATATATATTCTGGTTTGTCATGCCAAGATGATTTGAATGAAATACAGGGTCAGTCCCCAGGCATTACTAATGCATATAACTTTACTGGACTGCCCAATGTCAGGCGAACCTGGGAATGACAAATTATGGGAGCTTCGTTTGGGAGACTTCGTAACAGCATCCTGTTACAATCATTTCTTGTTTTACATATTTCTATGCGAACTATCTATCTTATTTTACATATTTAATAATTTCAGATGGGAAGAAACCCTATCACAACAGAGGGGGCCAAAGCTGTTATAAAAGCCATTCAGATGTCTAAACACTCACGACTAGAAAGCATTCAGTTGGAGGCATGTACCTATATTTATCTTTGAAAACTATATATGTATAATTTAACTTGTACCAATTCGATAACTTTCAATTACTGTAAATTCAGAAATTGTTGCAAGCATTTGTGATTGCGATTTTGACATGACCAATCAAAATTCGAGATTAATTATTGCGATTTAAAGAAAATCTGCAAAAATATAAATGTATTATACATCATAATGCGAGTTTTTAATATTGCGATTTGCACCAATTAAAAATTCGCAATGTATTCTGAATTTACGGTATTCCATGATACCCGTATATATTACACATAATATTAACTTGTCAGTTTGTATTTCAAGTAGTTGCAATTTAGCAGTTAAAACCAAATATCTTTCAACTGATTGTAAATTTGTTTAATTCTCCTTTTACATTTAAAAAGGATATATCTATTGACGACCAGTTCCTGGAATTGATGAAAGAGCTAAAGGAATCAAAATCTATACGGGTAACTCATGGAGAAAGAATTGCTGGTGGTAATGCTGTTACAGAAAAGGACCACGACCCTCATGATTTGAACCGATTTGATCCAGTAATGGTGCTAGTGGAATACATGCGCATTGACAATTTAAGATTAATAGACTTTTTCCAATATCTGGATTCGAGCAGTCGGGAAAAATTGAGTAAAGGCAATTTTCGGGATGGAGTAGCGGTACGTTGACTCAGTACTAAATAGTGTAGAGTTCTGGACCTATAATCTCATAGATTTTTCACCTAATTATCTTTTTTTGTTCATGCTTGAAGTTACTCTGAATTCCTTGTATTTTATTAAATTTTATAAACATAGGAAATAAGTCAACAGAAGGAAACACTCAACATCAGCATTTGATCATATTTCTAGCATTGAGAATGATATCTATGTTACATACTATTGGGAATGATATATACATTACATATTATTGAACATGATATTTACGTTAAATATTATTGAGAATGATATTTATAACATATTTTAGTTTGTTTTAATTTCTTAATGTTATATTTAATTTTAGCAGCTATGATAATAGTAATGAAATCATAGAACAACATTTGACCTACAATGTACACTATTAGTGTTTTGCTTTTTAGACTTTAGGAATCCCACTGACAGAACATCATTTGGATATTGTTATGCAAAAGATAGATCTGAAGAAAGACGGATATGTTGATCTTGAGTAAGTAGTTTAAGAGACTAAGGATAACAGCATGTATTTTTTCTACTTTTAAATCAGATAAAGTGAACGATCTCAATCCCTCGTTTTTCATCTTATAGTTTACTTACTTTGCGAAAAACGTAAATCTATATACACGAAATAAGTCTTTGGGTAAAATCGCATTTCTGCATTGTTATGAACGAAAATTAATTGGCAATTGTATCAGTCTTTTTTTCGTTCATTTGTATCTATTTATCTGCTGAGGTGATGTGCAGTTGAAGGCACACAATGTCCAATCAAAATGGTTGGAAGGGAAGTTATCCTATGAATAAAATACTTTCTATAAAATAATTAAATAGAATTGATAGCCCAGAAAGCCAGATTATAAATGTTTCTTTTAGATCTTTCGTAAGTATACGTAGTACATTGAACAGACAGGAAGATTATTAATTATTAATCATGATCTGAAAAACTTTTATGTAATCGTACTTTTTAGATGCATTCTATCTTTCTTTCCCTCCGACTCGTAGATTTTTATATTTACGTTATACATCAATATCTTTAGCATCATATTGTATGTTTTGTATTTCATATTCTAAAACCTCTATGTAAATGAACTAAGTGGGACATATATATACTCAACATCAGTAATATATAACCATGGAAGTACAATATGATACTTCCATAAATATAACATATCTTTTTTAGCATTTTGTATGGTTGTTTGGTTTATTGACATATACCATTTATTTCTGTTAGTTTGTAGAAAAAAAGTATGCTGATAGTGTAGTTTCTATAAAAATACTATCAATGGGGTCTGGATGGAGTTTACATGATAGAGAAATTCGGGCCAAAAATAAAAAATAGTCAAAAATGAGTCATAAAAAGAAAGAAGAGAGAGTAAGAAATAACCTATGATATAGAGAAAATAGAATATTGGACCAAATAATTAAATATAGAGAAAATGACCTTAGAAGTTAAAGAAAACTGGAATGAATACTCCCAGATCCAGACCCTATACTGGTATTATTATGAACACCAAATAAAGAATAGATGAAAAAAAAAACCGCAAAACATTTATATATGTTTTGCATATAAATAATTGATATGATTTTGCTGCCATTTTAGGGAGTTCATGACAGTCCATAGAGAAGTGTCCAGACAAATAACACAACGTACAACTAGAGCAAAATCGAAGAAAAAAGAAGATGAAGGCCTTGTAGGTCTTAGAAAAATTCTGAGAGAAATCATCGAGAAACGCAATAAAACAAACAAGGAAAAGGCGAGTAATAAGCTTGCCGATAAGGCTGCTGATAATGCATCACGTGACAAAGTTGTTTCTAAAAATAAAACGTTTGCCATATCAAAACCTAAATTTGCTGACATCACTGGTCGTAAGGGATGAGCACAAGAAATAATTTCACTGCTTCCTTTCACTATTGCATGTGCTATTTACATTTTGCTTTTCATTTAGTGCAATATAGTAAGGTTCACTATAGTTCAAGATTCAGGGTAGAAAAAGTTTTGTATACACATTGTTTTATATTATTACTGTTGTTATTTATTAACTGTTATGTTACTGTTAATTTAGATAAAAATAAAAGTAAAATATCTTATTTTGTCAAGAGTACTTTAGGGATTATAATATTCAGAGTAAGTCTATGACTTTATTCTATTGTAAGTATCTCAAGAACTTGATGTTGAAATGAAACAGTTTACATACAATTATTTATACAGAAAGTGCATGTTAAATCTGTAACACGACACTAGTATCATATACACATGCATGAGAAGAAACAATCTGTTCAATCTTACCCACTCTACTGTCTAATACACTCAAATACCATATACTAACTTAACTCGTCTTTAAATCGTACACTGGTAATGTGTTATGTTTCTTTTAACCACCTGAGAACTGCATTCAAGAACAATAGTTTCAGTTGCCATATATTTGTCATTAAGTTTGAGTTATGCTTGATTTTTGTGAAGAAAAAAAAATTAAGTGCATGGCATCCTAATGATTAATGAATGTATCCTGGAAAATTAACATATATAAAACTGTTGTTTCTTATATAGATATATATTGTACACACTTGTTTTTCAAATAATTCTACATGTATGACTTTTCTGCAGTATAAATAACGATATGCAAGAGCATGCATTTAGATATACCGGTTGGTGTCTACGAACATCTTTATGCCAAAACATATACATAGCCCTATGAAACATAGTTCATCTTCTATTAAAAAGGCAGGTATAGTTCAGGTCTATAATAATAAGCCATTATTGCAATGGATAAACAAACATTTCCATATCGTAAGACTACTGCAATATATTTGCTTAGATGAGCAAGGTTATTGCGGGAACTGTACATACGCTGGTGACATTTTCATGTTAATTTTGGTTCAAAAGTTTTCGTTACAAAATCTCATAGCTTTCGTAAAAAAAAAACACTAATTTCATTTATAAAATTACTTTCTACGACTCGGTCGTGTGAAACTTTTGAGTTTGCCGTAGTAAAACATGGTCTTTGCCATTCCCATGGAGGTGTTTTGTCACTAAATTTGCTATAATAGTTTACAGTAATCGAATTTGTCTACGAATGGAACACACGTTCACACCACTTAACAAAATTACATAATGTCTTGTAAGTTTCCAATGTGTACCAAAATAGTAAAAGCCAGACCTCAAACATTATTGTTGTCACCAGTATGTATCAAAATACTATACTCATTTAATTAGATTCTTTATTGCCATTAAACAGCAGTATATTCATGTCGTAATTGATTGTAATTGTAGGCCCAAGCAAAATTTGAAAAATGAAATCCACATTGGGTAATTAATGCTTTATTTTTATATTTTATGCACACGCACATTTGTCACGGTTTTTACATATGATTTAAGATTTGTGTATCAATGTTGGTCTTGGTGCTGCTACTTAGCGTTCATTATCATTTAATTCCATTTTTTCTGTCATTACTTATAACTTTGACATACAGATGACTTCAGAATATTCAATAACACTAAATTAGCGGTAAAAGGTTTATAGTTAGGGATAAAATATTATGAAATGTTTATGTGCATAGTGCAATAACCGACATAGGAAGAACAATATTGATAAAGGTTCCATTAAAATCAGTGCCAAAACACATTCAGATTTATGTACTTTATAAGCGATGTCTTGTTTTTCCACTTGTATATAGTGAATCACTAATATGTCACTGCATGCACTACTCGAAAAATTTGAAAAAAAATACTTTGCATCCAAAAGAAACCGAAAGTGCAAAAGAAATGTATGTTAACAGTTCTTATTCTCTTAATAGAAATGCATGATTTAGTAAATTGCAAAAATTTTACTACCGACCTGAGATTTTTATTTATTGCCAACCTTTTCGTTTTTTAACTTACGCGCATGCGTACCGACACGATACTACAAAGAATGACAACATTGAAAACAAAGAGTGCAGTATTTTGTTGACCAATAATATGTTTACGAGTATACATTTTTATTTCCAATAAAAGAAATAGAAATGAATTTTCACATACCGGTATTTTACCCCAATATGTTGAAAATGCCGATAATTTGGATTTGATTTTTAGCAAAATTGTTATCAAAACTAAGTTAGTTAGTCCATTGAACCATAGTCTGTTAATTACAGCATGTATAACCAAAAGCAGATTTTGAATACAATAAGATTACAATGCATTATTTCTAAAGCAGAATGACCACTCTCCTGGGAAGGGGGGGGGGGGGGTGTGGTGGAGGGCAAGGGTGTTTAGCCGACGTTGAAAGAATGCAAATAATCCTCATGTTGGCAGCTCTTTAGTAGTCTATGTTAAAGGTATTTACAATTTACAGGGCAATTTTGAACTAGACGTAAAGTAAAGACACTTGTCTACACAATCGGAAGCCTTTTGTTGACTTCTAGATGTATTAACTCTTGTGTCGTTTGATTTTACTTAAAACAATTAATACAAACGAGTGTTTCACTATTTTATGAATTCTCACGCTAAAACATAAACTATATTGAATGATCAAGAAATGAAAACTGATTGGTGTTCATTTACCCTGAGAAATGGTAAGTACTACTTAAAATTTTACACTTTTTGGATATGTGTTTTTCAGAAACAGTTTATGACGACACAAACCGTTATATATTTCAATTCATTTGGATAATATTTGCATTTACAATTTGAATGATGCCATAAAGGCTATATGTTTTGTTTTCAAAATTCGTCCCTCCTTTCCGTTGTAACTGCTCCTCAATCTTGTCAATATCTTTTTGATGTATCAATCATCACATTTAATGAGCTACAGCTAGTTTTCTATCAAATGTATTGTTGTCTGTTTGCTCGTATATATTCTGTTGACTATGCTGTCTTTATTTTTTAACGTATGGTTATGATCGACCCCTTAGTGTCTTCTTTTTTGTAGTCACATTTTATATACACTGCCACCGTGAAACTGTTTACCATTACTTGAAGTGACGGAAATTTTCCCCATTTTTCAGGCGATGAAATTTATTCGTTTTTCAGTAAGTTTAAAAAGAAGGGTACCATTTTGTGTAATCAACTCAGATCTCTGACACTTCACAGACAGGTTCACACATGTTGAAATTGTGCACCTGCTATTATAAAATTATTTGAGGAACTCCCCCCCCCCCCATTTTTTCAGACTTAGAAACGATCAGTTTGCAGAAAAATTTAGAAAAGATTGTACCAGTTATGCATATTTAATCCTCCTACAAGTTTCAACCCAGATATGAAAGTTCAAAGAAGTATTGCACACATATTAAAATTGTACATCTTTCATTATGGAATTCATTGAGGAATTTTCCCTTTTTTTCTCATACTTCGGAACTTATTCATTTTCAAACAAAATTTAGGACAAATGACAACTGACACTTCACAGGCAGGATGCACACATGTTGAAGTTGTGCACCTGCTATTATACAATTGTTTGAAGAAATTTTCCCAATTTTTCCAGACTTGGAAACTTGACCGTTTTGAAACAAAATTTAGAAAAGACTATACTAGTTAGTAATTTCAATCCTCCAACAGGTTTCAACATAGATCCCCAAAACTCCAAAGAAAGACTGCCCACATATTGAAATTGTTCACCTGTTATAATGAAATTCATTAAGGAATCTCGCTGATTTTTTCAGACTTTGGGGCTTATTCATTTTCAAGCAAAATGTAGGACATATGGGACCAGTTTTGTGTAATCAACTCCAATTACAGTTTTCAAACCAGATCCCTGAAATATAATACAAAGGCTGCACACATGTTGAAGTTGTGTACCGGCTATTAAGGAATTGTTTGAGGATTAATTCTCATTTTTCCAGACTTGAGAACTAAAATTGCTTAAGGAGTTACAATTTATCGTGGAAAAATTGATAACTGCGAGACAAATATCCTTCAACTTTATTAAGGGTTTTCAAGTATGTCTTGCTTTGTCGTCAAACGTTCCACCAATTAGTAAACAGCATGGACTTTCCCCTTTGAAGTATTTCAAAAGCACTGTAAAAATATAAATAAAAGCATGTGCACAACCTTAATATTGAAAAAAAGATAAAATGAATTAAGGCGACAGTAGTAGATGGTCAAATAGCGAAAATCGATTATAATAACGTTAATAGTACCAATTTGTCTGCACCACATGCGCATTTGACAACAAATGTCTCTTCCGTGATGCCCGAGGCCAAAATATTTGAAAATCCAAAACTTATTAAAAGATGAAGAGGTTATAATTAAACCAATAAGGACAAAAAGCAAGCGATCAGAGCTTTTCATGAGGGAGATATATTCCTTTATTTAAAATTAAATTAGACACAGCAAGATAACACAAAAAAATTGCAGGAATCGCATAAACTGCCAATTAAGTAAAACCGGGTGTGCCTACAGGGTAGGCTTCTAATAGTCGATACAAAATTATGACCTTGAAAATTATGGCACTAGTTGAAAGTTCAAAGAAAGATAACTATGAGTTACATTTGTTACAAAAAGTATCATCTGTAACGGAAGTTAAGAAAAGGATAACAATAATAATATTATAATAGTAATAAAAGTTATACATGGCTACTTTGTACTTGGTAAATTTAAGAATTTAAATCTATTAAGAAATATAAATGAATAATAACAAATGAATTGTACAGAATGGTTTGAATAATAGCAGTCAATGTGTTATCGGTATTCCTTTACAGAACAAGAATTTTTTCACTTACTCATTTACATGAGCGTATTTAGTTACGCATTTTGGTATATTGATATAAAGATATGTAAAAAGTAAAAAAAAACAAAAATACCGAATTCCAAGGAAAATTCAAAACGGAGAGTCCCTTATCAAATGGCAAAATCAAAAGCTCAAACACATCAAACGAATGGAAAACAACTGTCATATTCCTGACTTGGTACAGGCATTTCCTAATGTAGTAAATGGTGGATTAAATCTGGTTTTATAGCTAGCTAAACCTCACACTTGTATGACATTCGTATAGAATTCATTTTTATTGACAACAATGTGTGAGCAAAACAAACAGACATAATAGGTAAAAATGTCAAAAATTGGGGTACAGCAGTCAACATTGTGTTTTAATCTTAATCACTATAAAAAAAAAACTATGTCAGCAAAATGTCGTAACAGATGTAGGATGTCAAAAACACGTTGAAGGGAAACGGAGTACGTAATCAGGAAGATTTTTTTTGAAATTTACAAAAACAATAAAATGTTTTTCGTGCAATGAGCCAAAATATTGTGCTACAAATTTTACCTTCTGATAAAAAGGATCACACCGTCTCACAAAAAAAATGAAATTACAATGTTACAGCCTTAGTACTTAAATTTAGTATAAAGTGCCCCATTAAAACGCCTTACAAACTTATTTTCTTTTTTAATTATATAACTAATATAAACTAGTAATAAGATCGATTTCAAGATCATGACACGTTTTCGGATATTTCAAATTTCTAATATAATAAGAAATATTTTGAGTCGGTTCTTTAATACAGTATTTAAACTATGGTATGAGTATGGACAATGTACATTTTTCAAGGTACAGGTCGTGCAAAAAAAATCAGATTTCGTAAGAATTATAGTGAAAGAAAATCAAAAATATGCCAGCAATAACAAATTTCATTAAATGACAATATACCAACATTAAGATATTACAAAAGACAACTTCTAACGAGGTTCCTGTCTTGGGACAGGTATATGAGCATGTGGTGGTGTTAAACTAACGTTTTAAGATCTTAACCTTTTACCTTTTTAAATCTGGATTAATGGACTTACCAAGAGTAATCAAGGAACATACTATGAATATTAGTACTTGAATAGCATTTGAAGCCTTAAAACGGTAATATAATAGGTAACAAAAACATACTACAAACAAAACAATAATAACCTACATAAGCCAGTATAAAAAAAAACCGCTCGCTGTTTAACCTAACCGATTCGTCCCCGAGATGATCAGTAGTCATCTCTTTTGTGTTGACATGAAGTGTCATTGAGATGTTCATTTTCTGTAAGTTTACTGTTTACGAATTTTGAATAGTTCGAAATACTAAGGTTTGGTTACCCGAGGAATATGTTGCCTTAGCCGTATATGTGAAAACTTTTCGGAATTTTCGGTATTTGATGCTCTGGGTTTTACTGTGCGTATTGCTGTGTTTCTTTATTCTACATTGGCTAGAGGTATAGGGGGAGGGTTGAGATCTCACAAAACATGTTTAACCCCGCCGCATTTTTGCGCCTGTCCCAAGTCAGGAGCCTCTGGCCTTTGTTAGTCTTGTATGTTTTTTACAAAACTTTGAATTATTGAAATACTAAGGCTATTCTACCGCAGCAATAACTAACCTTAGATTTATTTGGCAAAACGTTTAGGAATTTTTGGTTTTCAATGCTCTCTAACTTCGTACTTTATTTGGCCTTTTAACATTTTTTGATTCGAGTGTCACTGATGAGTCTTTTGAAGACGAAACGCGCGTCTGGCGCAAACACTAAATTTCAATCCTGGTATCTATGATGAGTTTATTTACAACCACTGGGTCGATGCCACTGCTGGTGGAGTTTTAATTCCCCGAGTAGTCAGCACTTCTGTGTTGGCAAGAATTATCATTGATATGGTCATAATTATAAATTAACTGTTTACAAAACTTTGAATTATTTAAATACTAAGGCTATTCTACCTCAGGAATAGATAACCTAAGATTTATTTGGCAAAACGTTTAGGAATTTTTGGTTTTCAATGCTCTTCAACTTCGTACTTTATTTAACCTTTTAACATTTTTTGATTCGATCGTCACTGATGAGTCTTTTGAAGACGAAACGCGCGTCTGACGCAAACACTAAATTTCAATCCTGGTATCTATGATGAGTTTATTCTAATTTTAGTTCATTTATATGTTTTGGAGTTTAGTGTGACGTCCATTTTCACTGAACTAGCACACAATTTTAGTTAGGGGCCAGCTGAGGATCACCTCCGGGTGCGGGATTTTCTCGCTGTATTGAAGACCCATTGGTGGCCTTCGGCTGTTGTCTGCTCTTTGGTCGGGTTGTTGTCTCTTTGACATAGTCTCCATTTCCATTCTCAATTTTATCTTCAAATTCGTTTATTTTATCGTTATTTGGCCTTCCAACTGCTTGATTTGAGCGCCACTGATGACTTGTGTAGACAAACGTACGTTTGGCGGACCAAATTATAAGCCTGGAGTCTTTGATAAGTTTTTACGTAATTATAGTCATTGGACTAACAAAAATTATTAAAACGAAAGCTTTCTTCGCCATTTTTTTAAAGGTTTTTAGCTAGGTAGAAGGTATTGGAAATTAACATTATAAAGATTACAAATATCTAAACTGTTAAGGCAAAAAAAGTTTATTGAAACTCTAATATAGACAGAAATGTTTCAGTTTTTTCTATTTGTTCTTATCTTGAATTTGAAAATTAATTATCAAGTTATTTTAACAACATATTGTTTCATAATCACAGAGTACATATGATAAATACACAAATGTGGGTCTGCATGCTGGCGCTTAAGCAATATTTTGTGGGTGAGTATATGACACAACAAATATCTTCTGATGTAATCATATACAAGTCGGTACATGTATTTTTATGTCTAGTAATTGCTTGCATCATTGTCATTCAGTCATTCCGTTTGCCTGTCCGTCCGTCTGAACGACATTGAATAGAAAACTGTCGTTAAAGTTTTCTTGGCTTTAATGAAAGAGAATGATTTTATATTTGGTCTACAGCTTGAAAATGCGGAGTTGTAGCGTGTAATATTTATCAGCTCTGCTTTTCAGGTAGTTTGATATTTCACAACACTCATCGTACAAGGAAAATTGTCGCCAAACTTAACTTGGCTACTACAAAAGGAAATGATTTTATAATAGTTATTGGTCTGCAGTTTGATAATGTTGAATTGTAAAGTGTAAGCAATTTGCACATCTGATGTGCAGCCACTACCTGTTTGCCGATAATTTGAAACATTACAATAATCATCAAACTTTTCTTAGTTTCAATGGAAGGGAATGGTTTTATATATTCGATACAGATAATGTTTAGTTGTAGCTTGTTAGCAATTTTCAACATCTGCCCTGCAGTCTGTTCCTGATGGCCAATATTTTGAAATTTTACTCATTTTCTTAGCCTCAATAATTTTAGGGAATGATCAGTTATGCTTCAGTACACATCTTATATGAATCAATTGCACGCAGCGATGCAGGTCCAGCCATTGTATTAGTCTGGTTTACATATCTGTAGACTTTAAGTACTATATATTGTTCAATGCACATTGTCTGTAGTCAAGAAGGTAATTATAATAGTATTTCTGTTCTTGCATTGGTATCACGATAGTTCGTTTCAAATGAGGATGATAGATTTCTTATATTTGATGTCAATCATATTGATTTAAAGATAGATAATAAAGGAAATTCTTTTTCAGGCAAAGATAAAGCTTTCCCTTGCAGCTGCAACTAGAATGTTGACGAGTCCTCGACGCTTTTCAGTGGCAGGAACTCACCGTATCGAAGCAGATTCGAGTAATGCGAACACAAGACCAACATCATCTGCTTCAATCAGGGTACATACACCTATCAGTGAAACTCCGAGGGATAAATCTACGCCATCAAGGAGTACGAATGCAAGAAGGCCAACCACTTCAAGAAGAGGTTCTTTTTATAGGCCAGTTTTAAATGTGCGTAAGAGACCATCGTCATCACTGAACAAAAATGTTACATTTTCGGAACGAAATCCTTCAGCAAATATAACTAAAGAAGTTCCTGTTGCATAGTGAAAAATATAACGCACTGCTATAATTTGTATAATATATTGAATATCAAAGAAAAAAACCCGAAGAAATAATTTTATATTAAAATGGTAGAGAAGTACATTTTCATCTACCAAAAAAATACAAATTATTTTTTTTGTTTAAATTACAGATATACCTATAACAAGAAAAACATTCTAGAGACATGCTTATTTCATGCATTGTCCATGCACTTAAGATTATCGGACGAAGAAAATGACATTGAAACAAGGAGATCTTATTTTTAGTACCAAAAGGAATTTATTTTTTATAATAATTCTGAAAAAGATATACTAGTATCAACCTTCTTCAATAAATAACCTACATTCATTATGCTCGATCTATTAGACTTGGGTATGCTCAAGATGCTCGAGACCAAAAGTTTGGAAAGCTAAATAAAAATGTTTGAGAGCTCAATAGGAGTTGGTTTACTAACTCATAATTTTGGCCCTAAAAATCTGAAATATTGAACTGTGATAATGTTGTGAAAATTTGATCAAAACATATGTTTTTATGTTCAAGTGTTTCAGTTGATGAAGATTTTCATGAATTGAGTCATTGGTGATGTGTTTGTGACGTCATAAATGTATGTGAATTTCGTAAAAACCTGATTTTTTATGTAGTTTTGCATTTTCTGAAAAATTAAGAGTGGCGCCACCCCTTGCCCATAAATAGTTTTGCCGAAATATTCTTTTCATACCATATTCTTTACTTGTCATCCAAAATTTCAATGGGCGAGGTGTGGCGTCACATATGAAATCATGTATAAAGGTTGAAAAAGATGATAAATTTCTAGAAAAGTGGATTAAAATGAAATCTATTCCTATTTAAGGCTAATATATTTATTATATATGAAGCAGATATATAATTTTTCTTATTACAATTTCAAACATTATACATTTAGCAATACGTACACATAACATTTACTCAAACGAATGAAGCCTTAGAAAAAAACCTTCTTTACAGGACCGTTTATTAGGGTTATTGCCTCTATTCCTTTAAAATAGAACAACTTAACCACCAGAAGTCATTTAGCATGGGAGGTTTCCAACTGTTAGATCAATTACATGATTTATTTGAAATTGGAGATTTACATAAATGTACTGTCAAAAACACGCAATTAACGAATCAGTGACCACCAGGCGAATGTTATCTCGAGGACTGATTAGCTATTAGCAACGGCGTCGATCCATTGGTAGCAAAAAAGTATGGCACACATTTTCATGCGCACTACACGTATATGATTGAGTACTAAACAGAACTACTGAAATCCCACCACAAATATACTGTTCCAAATCAAGAACTTTGTCAGCAAATGACCTTTAGTTAGTTACACAACAAAATGTATTTTTTCAAGTGTTTTTTTTTCTTTTTTTTCATTTTTTACAACATTAAAATGAACGAAAGAAGTTTTGAAAATCAATCAATGCATTAGAAGAATAAAAAACAAACAAACGCGAAATCAGAAGACAATACAAACAAATGCTGAAGTAAATAGTTTTCAAAGAAAGAGGTGAAGAAGATCAAATGTTCATTATTTGTATATATTCAATTTGAAGATTCAGAATTTTAAGATGGACAAATTTATGAAAAAAATCAAACCAATGCTTTGGAAAATCTGCTCCATGAAATGAGATATTAGTTACAAAATTTAAAACTTTATAATACATACTGAATAATTTTTGTGGAAAATTTAAATATGTCAACATGCAAAATTAATAATTGCTTTAAATCAAAGTTCAAAATTTTCATATGATAAAGACTCTGTATTGCTTCAGCGCCGTTTTTAAATTAGCATAGAACGGACAAGTTTTAAATATACATTACATATATCTGCAAGTGCCCCGTTGTACAGGGTTAGTTTCTATTTATGACCATACATATAGGTTATCTAATGTATTGAAAACTTCCTATTAAGCCAGAATCAGTTATTGAAAAAAGAAAATGTAGGCGATACAGGTCTACAAGGAAGACTTACATCTATAAGTATTTATCGTTAGCGGAAACATTCTTTATTTATCACTTGACAGTTCATTACATATCCCACAGTATATCAATGCACAAAAATAAAGTAGGTCCTTATATATAACAGAAATAGATAGCACCCACAGTCCCTTCATGTATCCAGACTGAGTGGTTAGGAAATTGTATGATTTGAAATTATATTTTTATTTTGACTAAATTTTAAGTCTATAAGCTATGTAATTGTCATAGAAATAAGATGTGAGCTCACTCGGCAAGGTTGGTTTGGTAAATCCATTTTTATGTTAACACTCGGAAAGATGATTGACGTGGTGTCCTTATAAGACAGGGCAACTGAACTCGAAAACGATATGAAACGATAATTGATGTTTTTGTTCCCCGCGTAACGCGTTTCGGGGGACATGGAAATACCGGGCGTCCGTCCGTGTGTCCGTCCGTGTATCCGTCTGTCCGGTCTTGTTAGCGCTCTCACAGGTACAATTCTTGCCAGATTTTTATAAAACTTATACTATAGCTTAATATAAGCAATATCTCGGACAAGTTCTATAATCGACTTTTTTTAAAAGAGTTATGCCCTTGGAAATTTTAAATTTATGGAAAATGGCCTCGTTAACGCTCTCACAGGAACAATTCTTGCCAGATTTTTATAAAACTTATACTATAGGTTAATATCAGCAAGTTCTATAATGATGGACGATCGACTTTTTTTAAAAAGAGTTATGCCCCTTGGAAATATAAAATATGTGCAACGCGAGGGACATTGGAACTCTGTTCTTTTATTATATTTCATTTTATCTCCTATCTAACAGGATACAATGCTAGACATGATTCGAACGGGCTTTTTATGCACAAGTTTTATATACGTCCAGTGTCAATTTTACGAATTCCTTAAACTTCAAAGGTCTATTTGTTCCCCGTAGTACTTGATTACTTTTATACTAACATTTGCTTTTTGAGTACCCTTATATGTGTTGTTAGCATTATGAAACACAGACAAAAGTTAAATATATACATGTATATGATTTTGTTATAAATTAGGCCGTTAGTTTTCTGAATTGAATCGTTTCATATTTTTCATGTCGGAGCCTTTTATAGCCGACTATACGGTATGGGTTTTTCTCATTGTTGAAGGTCGTACGGTTGCCTACAATTGCTTATATCCACTTCATTTGAACTTTGGTGGATAGTTGTCTCATTGGCAATCATACCACATCTCCTTATTTTTATATATATGAAATTGACAGTTACTTACCATACACATAATTGTTTGTAACTAGTGATAATGAAAAGAAAGCATAAACCAGTCCAATCTAAGTCGATGGCATCGATTACATAATAAATTAATATTATTGAATATAGAGCTATTGTCTATTTCCACTATAAATAGGATTTGATCTATATACACATTAATACAAACTTTGTGTAGTAAATAATCCGATATTTATTTGATTATCCTGTATCCTATATCTTGTAACAAATGTATTATTCAGCAAACCATCTTATTATCTATCAGGGAAACTACACACACGAGGTAGGTAATGCCATTCCAATAATATTAACTATTTTGGACATTTTTGTTACATTCATGATATTAATTTGATACAGAAATATATTGATGACAAGATGCTAGAAAAACATTTTAATCTTTAAAGTAAGAAATGTACGATTGTGCAAAGAAATCTTTTGAAACGAAAACTAATCACCCTCCGCCATCTATTAAACTTCCAAAACTTTGAGCATCGTTTTGATTTTTTTTACTGATTTGGTTGTCTCCTTATTGTTTTAATTTTTGGCTCCATGTAAGATTCTGTCTTCCCCTTTTTCCTTCCGTTTTCAACTGGAATTTAGCATGTTATTGGCGGTCATTTCGCGGCTTCTAAGTCACTTATAGGTAACTACTGCGAAACTCCATCAGTGGAAATAAACAAAAATCAATAATTTTAAAAGGAAGTCTATTTTGAAGCACATAGCATATCCTTGATAATATTGATTGTTTATCCTGTAGCTGGTTTATAGTGTGTTCCCCTAGTAAAATATAGCCTTTTGCATTTAGCCTTTTTCAAGTATGATCTTCCTTTAAATAAACGGTCCTTTCAGGGTCAGCTTGACCCTGTCTTCATTGACAATGATGGTTTCTCCATTCTACACTTCCACATAATATTATCAAACAGAAGGTTTCCTTGTTGATAAAATGGTCTTTCTTGTACGTTCTTCTATGTACTTTTTGTTATTCCATTGATCAAGATAGAAGGCGAAGGTTGAGGTCAAATAAAAAATCTACCCCGCCGCATGGTAATGGGCTTGTCTTCACTCTGGGACATTGTAAGTGATTTTTTTTTTATCAAATTAATTGTTTTTCTGCTTTAAAAGTTTTGTGTTGTTGGTAGATCTGTGGCAGTCTATGTTTAATTTATTTACAATTTTGTAGACTCGAAAGCGATTTAGAGCTTGATAAATCGTATCGATATTTTGTCTATTGTTGAAACCTGTATGTTGACCTGTAGATGTCCTCTGGTTAGATTGATTGATTGTTGGTTGCTTAACGTCCAGTGGCAAATATTTCATGCATATTCAGGACGAGAACAAATTAACAATAAATACAATAGGTAGGTTCTGCAATAGGGGCGTCCGGGATTAAGGTCGGAGAAATTTAGACTGCCACGGGAAATGAGGGTATATTGGATAGGGACAGAAATTTAGCCTTGCAACAGGTCACCTACGGACCCCTCAAAGAGTTGTTGCAAGGGTTATTAACGTGCAAAGAGTGTGGCATTCTCTTTACACGAGGCATCGGATTTAACGTCCCCATTCTGACCGGACGTGGCTGCAAATTTGTACATCCCGCACAGCCAAACGGACGCCCCACTTTAGCAAGGGTTTTACTGCCGGTCGGAGGAAGACCAATGGTGACCATACTTCTATTCCCCAGTCACCCTTGGGGGTTCCTCTGGTTAGATGTTGATAAGATGTTGTCTCATTAACATTTATAATCCCCATATTTATTTGACTGTGGGTCTTGGTTTGTTACTTAGCTGCACTAATAAGGTTTTTAAATTTCAAACGATGCTTGTTCTTCTGCTTTATCGCTTTTTTTTGTATATAGTATCGTCTTCTAAGATCTTAAAA